GAGCAGCAATATGGCCAGTGTGAACCTTTTCGGGATGTTTCTTTTCAATAAAATCAGTCACTTTCTGATAATACCTCAAGATTTCCTTTATCGAGCGAGATCCTTCCATGATGAAGCAAACACGCCGACTGAGACCAATGTACAGAAGTGAATAAAAAATGGCGCTGTGAACTAATGTAACGTCGTATGATGAGTTTTTGTTTGTATCGTGGAGCAAAAATATGTTCGAATTTCATGTCATCTCCTGAAAATTTTGTATGCTGGGGCGTTCGTATCCTGAGGTACCACTGTATAATCATTTGTTATTGATAATATTTTTCAAGTAAATTCTCAGGATGACATGATAATTAAAAAATTTAAGATAAAATAGGAATTCTAAATAAAGATTATAATTATTTGTTGCAAGTAATATTCTGATTAAATACTATCAGTGAATTACATATGACATTAACAATATCTAATGATATACAATAAGACAATTCCACAACTAAGTAAATGTTTCTGTATTTTACTTAATAATATTAGAAATTTTGCATAGTAGCCTAATAATCTAAATACAAATAGCAATATGAATTTTTCCTTTAAATATTATTTATCAAATTTATACAAAAATTAATATTTAAAATTACAATGGTAATACTCACATACTTATTACTTGTTATTTAAAAATTATATTAATATACATTTTTGTAATTTACACTGACATTAAGTGTATGTAGATATAATTATATAATAATAATTTTTTTGACATGATATAAATGGGGTTTGAGTGTACTTTAAATGTTTTTCAAGGGAAATGAGAAAAATGTAGAAGTATAATCACTTTTGAATTGCTTTCAGAGTAAATATAATCATAAAAATAAAATAAAAATACTGTGAAATACAAATTAACTCTTTACAACTGAATTTGAAAGGTTTTTATTAAATTACATATCAATTTACTACATGTATAATTATTTGAACAGCATGATGAAGTTAATCCTTTATGTGCATACATATCCAATGTATATGACCCTACCTAAGGAATTATCCAATGGGATATTATATTCAATTTGACGTTTTATCTCTTATTATAATTGTGTTCGAGGCAATCTAAGCTCTGGTTATCTTACGTTAAGAATAACTGATGCTATTTAAACCAATAATTGTTTTGTCATCATTCTCTTGCCATAAATTTTCTGCAAAATTTAATCCTTTCTTTTGTAAAATAATGGGTAATCTTGGTGTAGATAATTGGTTGCTAACTAAATCTCTTATAAACAGCCAACTGTAGTTTAGAAAATATTTTTACATCTTGAACATAACTATTTAAATGAATAAGCATCTTGTCATCAGAACTGTGTAGATATGGATTTGGCATGAAAGTCAACACCCCTTTTTGCTACATCATTGAAGACAAGATATAAACAAATTGCTTGTTTTAGTTCTTTCTTTCTTCACTGATGTCACTTACTGGTACACTATGTGATATCAGTGAAAAAAGAAAGAACTAAAAGTAAGAACTAGTGAAAAAAAAAGAAAGAAGGCTGGACCTTCACATGAAAGAATGAAGAGTCATTCTAAAGGTTAGCTCACACTGACAGCAAACAGAGAAAACAAATGAGAAACAGAGAGTGATTTTTATTTGCTTAATGAAATTGGTTCACACTACAAAACATGACAAATATGTAATATGCTTTGTCATTTTTTTAAATAATTACTTTAAATTTTTCCATTTCAAAATGAATGTCACGTAAGTGAGAAAAAAGTGCTGTAGGGTTTCAAAAAGTGATATATAGATTTTTCATTTATACAATTCTGCATTTATAACTGAAATGTTTTAAAATAGAGAAAATACCATACAGAAAATATTTAACATATATTTTTTTGCAATTATATGTTAAATATTTTCTGCATGGTATTTTCTCCATTCTACAATATACATACATACAACTGAGAAATGTATAAATGGGAGTTCAGTAATTTATGATAAGAGTTCCATTGAGTAATGAGTGAGTGGATAGAATATCATTCAATTTATAAAAAAATTAAAGAATACCTTTTTCAAAAGCAAGGACTGCTTGCTTGTCATTTTTTCTAAATCTTTAGCATCTTCATTTATTCGCTCTTGATAATCTCTCTCTTGACTTTTCCAATGTTCTAATTCTCGTTGTAGTTCTTTTTGCTCACAATTCATTCCTTCAATTTTCTGTTCTAATTCTATTATCAAAATAAATAACATATAATAACAATAAAAAGTGAAATATTTTTCACATTTTAATTTTGTTTTATAGTGTGTGTTAAAATATTTATCATCATCATCATATTCAAAACTAGAATTTCATCTTTAACACTTCAAACATGCACTGATTTTCTATAAAAAATTCAATATTTTTCTCATAAAAATTATATTTGTAGGAAAAATGTCTAACTTATTTGTTTAAAATGTCTAAGTCATTTAAAATAATGTTTTGTGTGCTAAATGAAAGCTAGTAATTTTGATTAAAACTTATATACTAAACATAAAATTTATTACAAATCTGTATACAGTAGAGCATCGATTATCCGACTCAATTGGGGAATTGGGTTGGTTGGATAACTGAAAAAATCGGTTAACCAAAAAGAATGATAAAATACATTATTAGTATAGTATATTAGCATATCCCATGTAATTAGTATATTAGTATATTGCTGTTAACCTACTTCGCATTGAATTTTCATCGATGTTAAGCCTAACAAAATTTTTTTTTTTTTAAATAATAATTGTTGCTATTGTATCGTTAAAAATATTTGAAAATTATTTTATTGCTCACAAAACAAACAATCACTCATAATTAAAATATTANCTATATTTAAAATGATTAAAAATAGTTAATAATGTCAAAAAGATAACAGCAAAAAAACAGAAAAAAATGTTTATAATCCTGTAGCTTTCCAAACACAAAGATTTCAATGATAATTATCAAGCTGCAGTAATGTGTAATAAGATATTTGAATTATACTAAAACAAAAATATAACTTCATTATGGAATATTCTAGTCATTGTCATAAATTTGCAATTTATAAGTTATCAATCTTGTTATCAATATAATAATTTCCTGATTATTATTCAGTATGAAAAAAAGACATAATGCTATTTCATAGCTACTCTATACAAATAAAATACCTGGAAAAAAGTATTATGACAATTTTAAGCTTCATAGAAAAAAAAGGAAACAAGAAAAGAAATGGCAACATCAAGAATTCTTGAATATGTGGAACATTGCCTATGTGGTAAGTAGGAGCAAAGCCTCTAGTAAAAAATATTTTACTTGTATTTCTCTATTATATCTATTTTAGATTTCAAATATAGTAAACTTATAGGTCTTAATACTTAAAATTAAAAAATATACACTGGCCATCAAAGTTAAGCACAAATTACAAAAACAACAATTTCAAAACCACTTAAATTTATAAAACTTTCATAGGGTTTTACACACATACTTTAGATATACATTGCATACATTTGGGAAAAAATGAGTGAATGTTAACAGAAAAAATAAAAGATGAATGCCAGTAACAATAAATGGGAATACAAAAAAAGACGTTTGAATACAAATGTTGAAGTCAATATGGAATGTGATCTCTAGCATTAATGTAACCTTGACAGCATCAAATCATTCCTTCAATAAGAAATTTCAAAAACAGATGGCAGCAATAGCCATTCACACGAAAGAGCTTTTTGTGATCCATGCTTAACTTTTGACGAGTAGTGTATATATTATAATGATTTTATCCTGCAGACATTACGAGAGCCTTTTTACATGCTCATCATGAATTCAGCCAAGTCCACAACAGGGTCTAATATATCATAGTCTATTAAAACTTCTAAGTTACTCCAAACTCAATCACTGGTTATCCAACTGTCATTACAATATAGTTATTATGAGAAAGATTATTTCTCATTAGTTACAATCATAACTACTCAAAAATCAACAACAACTGTCCAAATAAGCAATACGAGAATAAAATTTTTAAAATCATTATTTTAAGTCAAAGACCATTTGTATATGCTTAGAACTTTTTCTTTCATAGTGACAAACAAAAATTTTAAGCTATTATGCAATAATGCTTTTTGCCAGTTTTTATTCTGTTAATAAAATTATTTGTGAGAATTAATTTTTTCCCAATTTTCTGTTTAAACTATAGCTTTATGCATTATAAAAAACTAAAAATTCTGTACCTTAGTGTATTATGTTCTTCCATCTTTAACTCCATCATAAATATTAATTGTTTAACATTTGTTCAGAAAATTATTTCACAAGCTAATAAGAATTTTAATATGTTAGATTTTAGTTTTTCAGAGAATATTTATTGATTAATATGTCTTTAAGTAATACTATTCATCTGGATAATTGATTCTAAAACATAATATATGAAATTTTAACTTTAATACAGAACACACATTTCCTGGAAATATAAGTATAATTTTAGGTTAAAAATTAAAAATAAACATTTTTTTAGTTAGAATTTATAAACTACAAAGTTATCTTACTCTCATTCTTTCACTAAATGCTTCTTTATTTTCTTGTGTAAGTCTTCTAATATCATCATTTAATCTATCAACCTCTTGCTGATCAGCAACAGATAGTTGTGTCAATAATTCTTGTTGTAATTCATTGCGAAGGGACTGTTCAGTTGATTCCATTGATTTAAGACTGGAATCAAGACTTGCCAAACTTCTTTCCTATTTTAAAAATTATTATATTCATTATTTAACTCTCCAATTATGTAAATATTGAATCATTATTTATCATAAAGATCCTACAATTCACAAGAACAGAAATCAAATTTGTTATTTAGCTGTAAATGCAATTTGTTAATCTTTTCACACTATATTATAACAGATACTAATGTATCAAACATCAAAATAAAACCCACAATTTAGAATTTCTTGCCATCATATGTTCTATGAATGTTTTTAATTTGAAAAATAATTTAAAAATAAAATAAGTATTAATGCCATATACATTTATAATTTTTGCAAACATATTTATTTTAAAGCTATAATTATCATTTCTTAAATATAAAAGATGGAGAAGGAAGCAGCCAAATAATAGATTTGAACCATTAATCCTTGAGAATTAGCTAAAACTCTCTCAGCTGAACTAATCCAACATAATTTTTAAATGATAACAATAACAGTAACTATTAAGTTTATTGAAAGATCAAATTCCATTTCCTACATCGAGATCTTTTTTCTATATTTTAAATGCTTATGAGATTTTCATAATCTCTAATATTAAATTACAGTAGAGTCCCGCTAATCTGAACTAATTGGTACCGAGCCCTGTTCAGATTAGCTGAATAATGAAATAATGCAGAAGCAAGCAGTAAAACAGGTCTGGTTTATATAGATCCAACACCATCAATGACTTTTGTTTCTGTTTTTGTGTGTAAGTACAGTATAGATCTGCTGTTTAATAGACCATTACTTTCTTGAAACCGTGTTGGTAATTATTTTTGTTGTTTTGAATACCACATATATAGGCCATATTAACAGGCCATGTAAAACACTGATTTATTAATTTTTACAGTATTAATACAGTACTACAATAAAATAGAATTTTTTTTTGTTGTGAAATTCTAAATATTTTTGTACCTTTAATACCATTTAAATTCAACCGGAAAAAAAAGCACATATTTTGCAAGCTAAAGAATTTCTTCTCCACTGACTGAAGAATGTTTGGATTAGGTGAACGTTCGGACTAGCGGGACTCTACCGTAGTTTTGAATTTAGCTAAATCATAGTACTGAATTTTCTAAGCATATACATTACTTACAGCCATGGTTCTCAATCTTTTTGTCAGGGAACACTAAACTTTGACATTTTTTTCTGAGGAACACTTACAATACATCAGATTTAAAGCAGAGGTGGCAAACCTTTTTGAAATCAAGAGTGCACTTGGTCTATTATTTGACGTCATTGGTGTTTGCTGATTACATTCCCATATAAAACTTATTTTACATTGTATCAATTTCTCTTTTGCAACAATTTTTAATTATATGTTTGTATGTTTGATTTTTTCGCGAAACACTTGAAGTGGCTTCACGAAGCACCCATGTTCCACGGACCATGAATTGAGAACCATGGACTTACAGCTTTCTATCTGGTATGTCAAATTAATTCAATACAATTTCAGAGTCTTGGTCGTATTTCCAAAGATTGGTGATTTGAATCTTTTAATTGACAGTTTTCACTTCCATCTTAGACAACTTAATTTTAACAATTAATCAATCATAAAAGAAATTCCTAGGGTATCCTTCTGTAGTAACAAAAAATGAAAAAATAAATTTCATCAACCTTTTATATTTTGATTCACATCTTCAATACGATTGCTTATAGCAGATAATTCAGCACTACTATTATCTAATTTTCTTCTCCTATCTTCAACAGAGATTTCTTGTAGTGCCTGCAAGCATCAAATTAATTTTTATAATTTATATATTTAATCTTATAGTATATACTTATTTAATTTACAAACACAACAGAAATATACTTNATATAAATTATAAATTAAATTAAAATCATTTTTAAAATTTGAAACATCTAGTTTCAATCAAGAAACAAAAGTTTCTTGATCGAATTCTAGATTGAAAAGAATTCAAAGTTTTTTTATTCTGTACAAAATCAGATTAGCATGTAACTAATTATGCTATTTAATCCAAAATCTTTCTCTCAACATTCTCTACATTAATTTCTAAATTACTTATAATTTACAGATTAAATAAATATTTCTGAAATAAATGGCATTATGTTTCTTAAATATTTATGCTCTTAAAAGTAATAATGAACACTATAAGGAGTTGAGTCTGAGAATTATTTTATGTTTGTGAAGTTTTACTTCTTTATTATTTTTGTTTGGAAGTGCTTATTTTATGTTAAGGATGAAAACTACCCCACTCCCCACTTGCTAAATTCAAAATTCAAATTGCAGCTATTCACCCAAGTGACTGTCATTCATGAAACACCTCTGTCATCAATCCCAAAAGGGTATCTCCAGTTCAGTGATCTTAACAATAAGTTAAAGAATAATCACTAAACTGTGTTATTGCTGTTTGAAAATTAAAATATAAAGATTGGAATTTATTCTGTTGGGAAAGATGCTAGGAATCAAGTAAAACATGTTAATGTATAAGTATGTAAATCGAATAGAGTGGCAAGAGATCTCACCTGTCAAGGAGTTTAAAAGAGACAATGGATCAAGTGAGATGAAACTACTTAGTGCAAGATAGAGTGAGGTCTAATAAGTTAGCATTACCAATGTGATGGTTAGGCAGTATAGATTCTAAGAGTTTTGGTAAACGATTTGATTTTGAATTATTCTTGTGAGGTTTTTGTGAAGACTTAAGGAACTTAAATAAATTAATATTAATTGTTGGGACAATTTTGTAAATACTAGTTTTGATTTGATTTTGATTTAGACTAATTATAAAATCTCTGAACTATAAGTTGGGTTTTTGTGTGAATTACTAAAAATAACTTAATTTAGTGTTAAAAAAAAAAATACAATACAATTCTAGTTACCTAGTTCATACTCATTAATTTGTAAATAGTTGTTTTCATAGATATTTATTAATAAATACTTTTTTATTTGGTTTTTTTTTCAATCATTTCCAGACAAGAGTGTTTGCTATTTTCTCTTACCTACAATGAATAAAAATATACTTTATGACATTTCTAAAATGAGAACAAAATGAAATATGGATGCTAACAGAAGTTTGTTTGAGGTAATATGGCTAAGTTTAGGCTTCGGCAATTGTCAAACCCATTTTTTGTTTATTTAATACTGTTCTTCAGATCTTACAGTGTGTTACAACATTTGTATAAGCATTTTAGCAATGACATGTATAAGCTATTCAAATGTGATAAAATCATAACACTGTAAGTGGAAATAGTCTTTTAAAGGTTTATTTTAATTAATAAACTAACTATAAAACTATTAAATTTATGCTCTATAAATTTTCATATTCTTTACAGTACTTGCTTTCTACTCTAAGTTTATAATACTTTATTAATATAAATATATCAATGTTTTAGATATTTAAACAAAACAACTCTACACACAAATACACTATTTATAATAATATGAGTATAATGGAAATTACTTATGCAAGAGCATGCTTTTAAATACAGTGGTGCCACGTATAATGTACTTAATCCGTTCCAGGTGCATGTCCGTTAAGTGAAAAGTTCGTTATACGAAACGCATTTTCCCATAGAAATACATGTTAAAACATATAATTCGTTCCGCAGCATAAAATAACCGTACTGTATTATAAAAAAAAATGAAAATGGAGTAGTCACCAATTATGCCGGGTAGTCAGATGTTGTGAGGAGGAGGTGGAGGAACACTTTCTTTACACATTCATACAGATACAGACTTTTTACACATCGCAGAAGGTCTCTTTTTATTGTTTTTAATCGGAGTCAGATTCAGGAGAGGCTACCAGAGCTTGCAGGGTCATCTCCTCTTGTTCCATCCTTTGTTTTTTGGCAGCTGGCTTCTTGAAAAACATGTCCAAGGTGGTCTGTTTCTCTCTCTTCTTCAACACCTGTCGGAAATGACGGGCAAGGGTGTCATTGTAGAGATCATTGATCCTGTTGGCCTCAGCTCTGTTTGGATAATGAGTGTTGGTAAACTCCTGAACCTCTCCCCATTTGACAAGGAAGTTTTTGTCAACTTTCACTCCTTCTGATGATTTCTTGCTTTGTTTCAATTGAAATCACCTTTCTGTTTTTTTAGAAGCCATGATTTGCACAACACTTGAATAAATGTAAATACCCTGCACTGAGGTGATGTACGTAATAAACAAGGGAGCAAGCCGAATCTCAACGGGAGCTCTATACTTCAGATATACTAATAATATATTTTAATAATACTAATATATTATAAAAATAGCAGATTGTCATTGGCAATGGCAAAAGAGTGGAAACATCATTTGCTCTTGTTCGCAGAAAGACCATTGTTCGCCTCACGTAACTGCCGAACGGAAAGTCCGTTGTTCGAAGCCAGTCCGTTGCTCGAGTCACGTAACGGCCAAACAGAAAGTCCGTTGTTCGCAGCGTCCGTTATTCGAGGCGTACGTTATACGAGGCACCACTGTATAAGATAGTTATAAAAATTTTCTATGTTGAATAGAACAAAAAATTTATTAAAAAATTTTTTTGCAATAAGTAAATCTGTTTATATAAAATAAATGTTTTTGAAGAATTTTTTTATGTTTATAGTTTTAAATTTATGAAAAATAAAACTATTAAAACATTTTTAAGCTGAAATCTTCAGGAAATAAAACAATTTAATGTTTACTTGAATGCATTTTGTAATGAATTACAAAATGCATTCAAATGCTATTGTTAAAGTAAACTTTATTTATGTAAGAAACAAAGCTTGAATAACAATAATAAATTTGGTTTAATTATTCTATTATTATTGTTAGGTTACATTTTAGCTAATTAAATGAACAAATGCTACATAACTTGGACTAAAGTTAGACAATTAAGTCACCAATTTAAGATGGCAATTTAATTGCCTAACTTTAAACCAAATAGCATAGACTATATTTTGGCTAATTAAATATATGAATCCTAATATAAAAATGGTGACAATCAAGCTAATTTATTAAGTTTAATAATCAATCATAGTTTTATGACAAGGCCTTCATATTTAAAAACTATATTAAATATTCTAAAGAATTTTAATTACAATTAACTCAAAAGTCTAGAAATATATATCCAATTCCAATAAATTTGACTGAGACTGTTATTACATATCTTACATAACAAATCACTATTTCCTGGAACTGAATATATGACAGATGTTCATTAATCTGGAATTGTCTGATGATGATCTGGCAATCTCATATTATTGAAATGGATATTTGTTTGGATATGTGGTGTTCTAAAAGCCCTGAACAATAATGTGTTCATTAACATTTTTTGCAAGTTTTTAAATCAATCTTAACACAGTCTAGTCATGTACTGTATTGTTTTCAGACTGATTAAAGAGCATGAGTCATGAAATCAGAAGCAAACAGCAGCATATGCTGGTACAAAAATATAAGGAATATCTACAACATTCAGATTGCATAAATACAAAAGCATCAGATATATTCAAAGTTAATCTGGTACTTTTGATAATCCAGCACCATTCAATCCTGTAGCTGCCAAATTAACAAACTTATTATGATTAAAAGTGACCTTTTCAATGTAGCAACATTCTTTGGTAAATATTAAGCAGCTTATATGGAAAAAATTCCAATTAATATAATTGTTACAATTATATTTTACAAAACAGTATACAATTATATTGTTTTTTCCATGCTTGTTATAAAATTATCTTGATTTATTCACATTATCAAAAGTATGTAGGAATTATCTTTAATATCATGTATACAGAGATTTCTTAATTGTCTGTGTTTAATTTGTTAGAATGTCTCTTAGGTTAATAACAATTCCATTTGAAGGCAACTATAAAATATTATCTATATATATATATATATAGACATGTATGTCCCTATATTTCACTTTTNTATATTTCATTAATTATTTTGAGTGTTAAAAAAGATTAAGACAAAAAAATTTTCAGTGTTTCCATTTTCCTTCATATAGTTCATACTGAGACAAATACTTTAAAGAACAAATATTCAAGATTCCTAGATATAATAATCACTCTGCAAAATTTTTTAAATATGACTTATATTCTGTGTACTCTTCCTTTTTAAAATAAAAAAAAAATATCTTATATTTATCTCCTGAATATACTTAGTTAATTTTATCTATTTATTTACTTTTTGCAATTATATTATACAGTATACGGCAAAATATAATAAAAAACAAACAGTTGCATAAATTATAATAAAAAATCAAAATAAGAGCAAATTACTTTTGGTTGACGAGATCTTTCCAGTGCTGTCAACTCTTCCTTCATTAATCTTATGTCAGCCTTTAATTTATCAAACACGTCTCTGAAATATATTAAAAATATAAGAGTTTCAGCAAATTATGAATTAAAAACATTTCTAGTACTGATTAAAAAAAAGCAACATTTATATATAAAAGTTTTTATAAAAGTAAGATGAAGAAATGAAAAGCACAACAATCACTAGTTTTTGCAGACTGAAAAAAATTAATAACCTTGGTTGAAAAACATGAAGATAATTTCAAAGCATTCAAAAAACAAAAATTAAAGTTTCAAATGATTTATCAATTTATAAATATTGTTTGCAACTGTTGTAAACCTTTATTGTTTTTATTATATTAACAACAGAAAATAAATTCTAATGTAAAAAAGAAACTTGAAAAGGTTAAAGTAGTCATTTATTTGGACTAACTAATCTCAAAAAGTATTTACATTTTTGAGATGAATAATATTTTTAATGTAACTGGCCAACATTATCTATTTTTTATTTTTTTTAAAATGTTTGAATTTGTAAAGTAATAAAACAACATAAAATAAAAAAAACATCTAAACTACCTGTGCATACTATTTAATCATCTAAAAGTGTTAAAACACAACATGAAACATCTGTCCTGCCTATGATATGCCCTAAACCATAACTTGGGAAGAAGCTTAACATGGTGTTTTCAGGGGAGGTCCATAACTGTAGGGAAAAAATAAGTCATACCCTAGGATCTAGTTTGTTTCCTTTTCTTCTTCTATTAATGAACATAAGTTTGGCAGTGGCAATGATTTGGCTCTTTAGTAGGTATAAGTGGCAAATATCTTGTATTTATCAGAACCTTGTAGTCTTTACATTGAGAAGCAGTTTTCTTTATCATAAAAATCTGTTCTACTAGAGATGTAGATTATTTCTCTCATTTGAGATCATCTTTATACTTAGAGACACTAGTCTTGTATGTGCAATGTTTTCTGCCTATGTAGTACTTTGTCCTGTCATCTGTTTTGATTGTGATGAAACAGATACTATTTTTGTTGTTCTTTTTTGTTTTTAATCATGTCATATTTCATTGGTTGTATTTATAGTCACTAATTTCACACCATTTATTAAGTTATTAGTTTATTGATTATTTATTCAAATTATTAAAAGTAAATCATCGTAAGTCATAAAGTTAACCAATTAGTTAGTTTTGATATCTAGAAACAATTGATAATTTTAATTATAATATTCTATTAATATTTAAATTATCTTGTCTGTTTTTGTTTTTATATCATTAAAATTTGAACAGAAGTTATGAGTTAATGCATCTTATCTAAAAATCAAGTCATATGATAAAAATAAGTAAAATATTTTTGCATACTTTTTAATCAATGCATTGTTAGAAAAACAAAGTAAAATTTTAGAAATAATTTAAATTATTCATGAGAAAACTACTTACTTATTTTTGCTGTTTTTTGTTTCTGCTTTCTGCATATCACTGACTACTTGATTGATTTGGCTTTCAGTAGGTAATCAATAAAGTTAAAGTTATATGAAGAATACAATAAAAATATAATACACTCATTGCTATAACTGTACATATACTGTATAAAAGTAAAATTGTAACTACCACATCTTGTTATAATTACTTATATTTAACAAATTTCTGTTAAAAATAAACGTTTTCACATATCAAAATCTCTATTTTATTATTATTAAATTTTTTATTCCAAATAAATAAATACTAAGATATAACATGCATTAATCAAAAAGTTACAACAGATTATAACATTAAATAGAAAAACTCATGATATTTATCAGTATTTGTGTATTAAATATTTTTTAATTTACATAATTAAAATATATTGTATCATATGTAACCTTTTCCAAGTGTAATTAACCCAAAAGGAATAAATAAATAATAATAATATCAAATAAGGGATATGTTCCTAGACAATGAAGTGCTAAATGAAACAGTGCTAAACAAGATCATTTTAACATAGACTAAATAGAGAAAGGGGAACACATGACCAAAAATAAACAGATTTTACTTTAAATTATTTTTATATTAACTTGCATAATAATATATGTTAAACAACACATAAACATATCAAACAGAAATATAAAGATCATTTTTGTGATGAAGGTCCTGGCATTTTTGAAATTCTTGTTTTTTGCAACAAAGTCATCTAGTGTCATTTGTTGCTTTTTTTCCTTTCCTTAAGCAAATGTCGGTAGCAAAAGATTGCATTCAAAATGCCTCATCTTACTTTTGCACTCCTTTCAAAATCTGGATCACTCGCTACAATTTTCGATTATCATTACCAAACTTTTACTAAGGAAATCTGTAGAGAAATTCTTTGGGTTCTTCATTTTCAGAATCATTATTTTCCAGTTCTAAGGTGTATCTCATAAATATAAAGGCACAACTTGTTATGCAAATAAAAGCTAAATTAATTATCATATAACAAAACTATTCAGTTTTATTCAATGTAAAATAAATTAAACTTAAGGTGAAGATTGCCAAGTGTTCGCATGTTTACACTATATAGTGTTCAAAAAGACAAAAACTAATTTAATTTTGAGGAAGTTACAACTTACAAATAAACATACTAAAAAATCGTGTAATTATATCAATTAATAACTTAACAATAAATTAATTTAAATCAAAATTACATTTCTCACTGTCCCAAAAATATAAAGGCTTAATACAAAATCACTAGAACAGTGAAAAGTATTGTTACAAATCTTATATAATAATCAACTAATAACTAATACTCTTCCCCTTTTTCATTATAACCTTATAGATACAATTTGACATTGACTGTATAAGTTTTTGAATGACTATTGTAGTTATTTTTTCCAATGGATATTAACTGTATGTTTAACTCATCTACACTGTTATATTCGCACTCATTAGCATATACAGCTCTAGCTAAAATTCCTTAGAGGTTTTCCAAATTTGGGGAATAAACTGGCCAATCAATAACTGGGACTCCATTAAAAACCACCCATAAGTTAATTTAGCTGCCTGGATCTTGTTGGAAAAACCAATGATTTCCAGCAATTACATCAGCCCAAGGCAAAAGATAACTTTCTAGCATGTCTTGATAATGATTTGCATTCATTCAGCCATTGAGGAATGCAATACAGTTTAACCCGATTATAACGACATCGGATGTAACGACAACCCTAATATAACATCAAATTTTTATCGGTCCCACAATTTTACTATACTAGATAATGTTAACAAACCCACTTGTAATGACATAAAACCCTGTTTTAACGTCATATTTGAAGCACTCTTAAATTTACAAAATTAGATTATAAATTTTATTTATCAAAGAAAATACTACGTGTTCAGTCCTAGGGTCAGAGTCCACTTCCTAGAACGATTGTGGGTGGTACTGTCACTACCTGATTTGGTGGGGTGAAATGCACCACCCATTTAAACGACGTGACAGTGGGTTAGTCTGCATAGCTCTCATACTCGTGTTGTAGTTTAGCATCAAATCACATAAAATGGCTAGCTTAAAAAGGAAAGCGTTAACGTTAGACTGCAAAGTAGAAATAATTAAAGCAGTTGAAAGTGGAAGAAAAAAGGCAGATGTATGCAGAGACTTTGGTTTAGCAAATTCTACAGTGTGCACAATAATAAAAAACAGAGAGAAAATTTTGAAAAGTTTTCAAGATGTCAAGGGACAAGTGAAAAAAATTAAGTTATGTGAAAAAGCCAATATTGAAGACACTGTAATTAAGTGGTTTAACCAATGCATAAGTTCCAACTTACCACTAAATGGACCAATACTAATGGAAAAAGCAGAAGAATTTGGACGACTATTAGGCAATACTAACTTTAAATGTTCTAAGAGATGTATATTGATTCAGAATGAAATGTGTAAGAAAAAAATAGTGTTGTATTTTTGTGATGATTAAAAATTATTTATCATGTGAAAAGGTTTATAGCTAGAAATCTCTAAGTTTGCACATAGTTGATAGCTTGCAAAACTTAGCATAGGAAGATAGGCTACTGCAAAAATGTAATAGCCCACAATCATAGCACCACACCAGTGTGCAAAGAGCTGCCATATCAATCTACTAGATGCTTGCATGTCATATGCAAAGCAATAATATATATGACAATGCTAAAAAAAGGCTGAACAAGAACAAGTATTAAATTTTACTCTTTTTTTTACTTCATATAGCCTATGCAGCTTTTTGATTATGCAGCATCTGTTTTTCTGTTTCATCCACTGGTCAAGTGCTTCTAACATTCGATTACAATGTTTAAAATTAAACTTGATTGGGGTGGCAGCGGGGTCAGCAAAGAGTGAGGGATGGAAGAGCATTAGTGTGGGAAATGCTACCATGCTGCTCTGTGTGGCTACATCCCTAGTGACATAAATAATCTTTTCATATTTCATAATAAATGAAGAATTTGACACACTCACTTTAAACAATTATACTAGCAAACCTTAACTAAATAAAAATTTAATATCACATTCAAACTTAAAAAAGGATATAACTTAATGTTTCTCTATGTTGATTCAACTGCCTTTCTTGATCTGTAATTTCTTTCATTAACTGCATATGAACTTTGTGTAAATCCAAACGAGATCGTCGAGTATCAAAATAGCCTCCTGTTAAAGCACCTTTATGTGAAACTTGATCACCTAAAGAAAGAAAAAAAAAAAAAAGGAAAATATATATGTATAGAAGATGATTCTGAAATAGTGGGACAAACTTCATGGGATGATTCCTCATAGGAAAACAAAGGGAAAAAAGGCATATAAACATATATCTGGAAATGAGAAGTTTTTGAGAAACCAAACTTCTTATGACAAGTGTTAGGTGTAAGACAGATTTTATTATGTAACTCTCTTATTAATGCTCTTACATAAGTCTTAACTAAAGGGAGCTGGAGTGCACTTTAGTCAAGAAGTACAAAAGTTTAATTTTACAAGGGGAGTGAATTCCCCTTGTAAAATTAACATTTTTTAAAATTATGCCACTATCAAAGCAAAGCAGTGATATGAGATGCACTGATGTGTCTAACTGTACAGGAAATGCCTTACCTTCAATTCACAAGTCATCCAGTTTTTTCTTATCCAGCTCAGCCACTCACCACATATGGTAGAATCACAATTATCTGGCTTAATTAAAATATGCAGCTTTTAAAGATCCAGAGCTAAAAAACTTTTGTACTAATTTCTGAATAATTAATTCAGTCTTACTATTACATATTTTTTAAATTCCATTCAGTAAAAGTATCAGATATTGTCAATATCAGAAATTTTATGTAATACTGACAAACATTTTTGAATAGTGATGATATTGATATATTGCTCAATAAAAAATATTTTGAAAAAAAAAATATAATTTTCAATTTCAGTGTAATTTATAAACTGAAAAATAGCCTTCATCCATGAAAACATTAAAATACTGAAAACAGATTATGCTTGATTATGAAAAGTTTAGTATGTACAATATTAATTCTGTTTAATCATCTACCAAATTTAAAATATCACTGTTTAATTGTGAGTTGAAAGTAAATTTAATTATTTAATAATAAAAATAAAATTAATTAATATATTATTGCTGTTATAAAAGTTAATTCAACAATATAATCTATTATTACATTAACATTTTTAAATGTTTAAAAGACATTATAAAGAAAAGCTTTACCATCCAACGTAATGCAATCCAAATTAGAAGTTCGTGCAATCTGTGTAGCAACTTCCAGGTTGCGACATATTAATGTTTTTCCAAATATATATTTCATTGCTCTTTCAAATCTACTATCAAAAGTTAATTTACTTATCATTGGAATTGCATCCTACAAAAAAAAAAAAAAACACAGATTATTAAATAATCACCACAATAATATATTAGCTTTTATATTTTAACATACTGAGTATGTTAGTCTGTTTCATAGAATTCAGTGATTCCATTCATTCAAATATTTTTGGCAATATTATTCCCAAACTACTTTTAAAAATTAGGATTTTTCTAAAACTTGCTCTTAGCTTTAATAAATAGATAATATTATCATATAAGGAAGAAGATATTTTTTTTTAAAATTTATTACAACAATAAATTTCTCTACAATAAAATTTTTTTCTTCTTCCACTAAATATTGCTATTGAGGGATTTAACTACATTTCAAAAATTTAAAAGTTATCACCAAAATCTAAGAAGAAGAAATGAGCAAAATAAATGATAAAGTATATACAAACATGACAATATACAAGACAATGACATACAGAGTATGGTAAAATACAATATACATTTTATTATACTCAGTATGTATATTATCTATCATATAAATATAAATAATTCTCTTAACAGAAGTTACTTTGAAAAACACAATAATAAGTTTTTAATAACTTTCTTATTAATGACATATATCGTTATAATGATTTCTGTCAAAATAATATACTATATATCAAACATACATGTATAATTATATAACCTGAAATCACATGCATTTACTTTTAACATACACGTTTAAAAGGGCAATTACAAGCTGATTTTCACACACAACTATACTGAAATTGCTATCCCTTGAATTTCATAATCCTGAAAAATCTTACAATGTGTCTTCCCTACAAGTGCCAAATTTTAACGTCATATACAGATATACTTCACCTTACGTTGATAATTGGTTCCAGGAGAGGCGACTTACATCGAAAAACAACGTAAGTCGAATTTACTTATCACTAGGCTAAACTACAAATAACCATTCCCAGTTCTGTATTTTATTTATAAATGCATTTTTAATAATATATGGTTAATAAGAATCTATTTTAAGCTTACAAACAAATAAATTTTAGTTTTTAATATAGTACAAAAAAAAGTAATCTAAATTTATGAATACATGTACGTACAGTACATACTTGTAAATGTACATGTTTACAATTTGGTGATGTTTACAGTACATCGTGGATTCTTTATTTGTGAATGTGGTTTCTCTAAGACATTATAAAATAAGATGATTTTGTAAGGGTAAATAACAAATACAATTATTAAAATTATTTTGCAATAGTAGAAAAAGATTTATGTTAAATTTACCAATATCGAGTGGTGTTGACGACGACGCCAAATGGTAGATATTGGAACTACCGTGGAAAATGCCAATAATAAGCACTTAAAGACTGCTAAATAAGACGACAACACAGAAACACAGATGTTTTCATGTTTCATTCTCTAGGATTTATGATGATTATATTAACATTTACTGTAAATGTACATATTTTAATATGATTTTATGTGCTTCTAATGCTTTTCTAGTGATATTAAGACTTCAATATTTGTGGTGGACGGATGTAAAGTCAAATAAAATGACTTAAACTTGATTTTTATTTTTCCATATACTTTTTTGACAAATGACATATAATCGAGAATAATGTAACTCGAGATATACCTGTATTGTTTAGTTTATGACTATTGGTTTGTTTACAGAACAGTGTCCTTAACCAAGTTCTCACAGCCTTTCAAACTTTGTGATAGCATAGATTATTATGAAAACAACTTCAGTAGGAAATAAATGACAGGAAGGCTGAAGTGTTTCTGAGAAGGACTAGAAATTGATTTTTCTGTATTTTTAAGGCATGAAACAAAGCTGCAAAAACATTTAAATTATTGAAAGTCAGAGCACCCAAGGCTATCTCATAGGCTAGATAAGCATTCAAGTTTGTACCGTACAACTTGCAGATGGCACATAGCTACCAAACATCCATGACATCATAACCACTTCTTGCAGCAATCATGTAAGACCTCCATGATGTCAGGTCACCAAAAGTGACACAAGAGCAGAAAATCATCTTATGCATGTGATTGTGTGAAAGTAAAGAAAAATTGTTTGCAATTGCATGACTAAAGCAGCAATTTTCCACAGCACGTTTGAGATCTATGGTAAGTGGAAAAAATGTTTACACAGTTAGATGAATAACATGTAAAATGTAGTATGAAGATAACATGAAAGCACAGCTAAGAAAGTCAATTTGGTGAAAAAAAATTCCATGAAAAAACTAGTGGATGGGAATTCACTGTTACTACATGTGATAGCAGGTTAATCATAATTTTAAAAATTCTTTTTTAAATTCTATTCATCGAACAGAATATTTAATGTATCAAAATAAAAAAACAATTAAAATACGTACATTTGTATTAGGATATTGAACATCTTTATACATTAAGCGATTTAAAGGCATGAATGTAATTTCACCTGGCAGCTGCTGTCGATTCATTTCTTGAAGAATTTTAGTTCCAGTTCTATCATTTTCCACAATATGATAAAATAGTCTAATAAAATATTAATTTATATTATAAATAAAATCTTATAATATTCTTATTAATTACATTTGAATCAGTAAAATTTCTGTAAAAGATTACTTTATGTATTGATAATAGTACAATAATATCTACTGTATCTATGTAACTTAATGTAAATCATTGAGTGTCTAACAGCAAAAATTTCAATTTCCTTACACAATACAACCCTGACAAAAAAAAAAAAAATCTACTTAATCAATCTCTAGCTTATCCTTTAATAATATCAAACATTTTGTACACTTAAAGTTATTTTATATTAGTAAACTGTTATTATAACTTAAGATTTTACATAAAAAATGTTTATATTGATAATATATAAAAAAAGTTATGGGCAGTTGAAAAAAACATGTGACAAAAACAAACTTAGACAGTGCCATTTCTGACAAATAATACCTCTGACAGTACATTAATATTTTGATACAAATCAAAAGTAAAATAACTAAGTGTTTCAACATACAATAGAGCATTGTTTATCCAAAAGCCGGTTATCCGAAACGTTGGTTAACCTAAAGCATTCCAGTCAGCAAATTTAAATTTTCGCTAGTGCTGTGGCACTGCAATCTTTGGCTATATCTTGGACTACTCCAATATTTTTTTGTTGGTGTGTGTATTTTAGCCAGCAGCACTGGCACTTTTGTGTGGTGTTTTTCTGAGGACTGTGTCATGCTGAATCAAATGTTTTTGATACTAGATCAACTTCTAAAGTATATTTTTTTTGGTTTTTATATTTTTCATTATTATTTTAAAAAGTTTATGTTAGGCTTAACATCGATGAAAATTCAACACAAAGCGACATGCAACGGAGAAAAATTTCAACATGGGATAGGTTAATATATTTTTTCGTACATAATTGGTTATCTGAAAAATAAGTTATCTGAACAACCTCAGTCCCCAATTGATTCGGATAAACGACGCTCTACTGTATATGTTTCAATTCAATGTATCATCAAGAGCAAGGCATTCATTTGGAGTAATTTCATCCCATATTTACTTGATTTTTTGTTTTAAACCATCCACACTTCCTTGAGAACTTGTTCTCAATGCTTTTTAAATTTTGCTCATGTTTTCTGTAGATGAAAGGTCAAGATTGCTTGCTTAATGGCCATTTTAATGTTGGGCCAGCCAAGTCTTGGTGGTTTTAGCAATATGCAACTTGCACCATACTGCTGGAAAATAAAATGTTCTTGACATTATTTTTCTAATGATGATAATAAGTTTTCCTCAAGGATTTGTTAGTATTTTGCTGCATTTACAAATCCCTCGATGAAATGCAATTTTCACACACCTTTGACTGACATGCAACCCCTTGCCATAACACTTGCTAGGAATTTTACAATATGCTATAGACAGTTACAATGGAATGCCTTCTCTTGCTTTCTAATGACTTCTACTCTATTGCCTTTGATGCAGACTTCAAACTTTGCCTCATCACTAAAAATAACCTGCTTCCACTGTTGTGTCCAGCATTGGTGCTCTTTGGTCCACTTCAATCAGTTTTTTATTTGTGTTTTTGTGAGAAGTGGTTTGCCTTTGTCTAAGAAAATAAATCACATGTCACAATTGTAAAAATAATAATATTTTCTTACCTGATAGAAGTTGTAGCCAAATTTGTGCAGCTGGATACAACATGTTTCTTTTGTAACTTTATTCCATTCATTTACTAATGTACAGAGTGATGTCCCTCAATTTTTTAAGATTATTTCACAAAGGTGCTTGTGATCAGTCTTTGTTATAGTTGCTGGCTTTCCAGTTAATTTTTCCAGATGAATTTTACCAGTTTCCTGATATTTTGAAACAATACCCCATACTGTGGAATTACCAATTTTTAATTCCTTTGTAATTTTTTTCAAGGATTTATCTTCTCTATGGAAGATGATAATTACTTCATGTACATCAACACTTACAGCCTTACCAGGTGCCATTTTCATTAAACAAATACACCTCAACAATATTAACACAAAAAAAAATATGCAAATATCACAATCAGCTAATTTACACATTTAGGAACAGGTCATTTAATATACTTATCTGAGGTATTATTTGTCATAAATCGCACTATCTGAGATTTTTTTTGTCACAGATACTTTTTTCAACTGCTCATAACTTTTTTATGTATTATCAACATTTTAAAATTTTTTAATGTAAAATCTTCAGTTATAATAAAAGTTTACTAATATAAAATAATTATAAGTGTACAAAATATTTGTTTGATATTTTTGATTAAAATAACATGTTGTCCAAGGTTTTTTTGTTGGGGTTGAAAAATTAACCAGATGTTCCTATATTTTTTTCATTAAGTACTATAGATGCATTAAAATTGTTTAATAGTTTTGATATTGTAAAGAAGATTTTCTCTATAATCATCAGATATTTTTGACATCACTAACTTTTGTGAATAAAATTTTCAAAGAGTTTCTTTGTTTAATTTTATTTTATCTCATTCATCCCTTTTTCCAATATGAAGATTACAATACTTTACACACTGTAATACATGGTGTCCTATATAAAACTGGTCCCACACATTGAATAAATATTGTAATTACAAAATCTCAGAGAAATTTATGATGATTTGAGAAATATTAGTACAAGGTAAAAGTAATGATCATCAATTTTTTACATGTAACGCTAGAACTGTAAAAGTGTGTTGTAAACTATAAAAAAAATCTATAAACACTTCTTATTTTTTCAATGAAATTTCTATCTTAATTATAGAAAAATGCATTTTTCTCTATCACAGGACTTCAAGCATATTCAGGAAAGATTCATGAGGTCACTGATTAGTCAACACAAAAACTTCCTTAGCTCTTATTGATAATTTGTTAAAAGATTTCTACTTATAAATTAAAATTTTTAAACACACAAATGTTTAAATAAAGCAAAATTAAGTCTAGTAATAGTCTCTTTTCATCTGTTCAAATAAGATTTTCATTTCCAACTATTCATTTTTCTTCATTTATGCAAGCAGAATACACCTATCATACTCACCATTTAAAGACAAAATTTCATTTGTATTACATAAAATTTAAAATACTCATGACTTAGTTAAAACACAACCTTCATATAATTTAAGGGGCATCCTACATAATGTGATTGTTAAATTGAAATAATGTTTTATATTCCTTCAGTTTTTAAAAAGGACCATGCACAAACCTTATAGGAATGGAATCCTGGTAGATTTGATTGAATTTTTGATATTTTGTAGTTACAGTGGTCCTGTGACTTTGTGCAAAAAAATAGACAGTTTTTGAATTATCAAGCATTCAACATGAAAAAACAGTGTAATTCATACACATGTTGTAAAGCCCTAAATCTTTTTGTTTCAAAATATAAAATGATTTGGCCAACAGAGTTCTTTTTTGAATGTTGCTTTACATAGCAATGCTTTTGCAAGAAAGGTACCATATGCCAAATGGAGGAATGTGCTGTAGCTACTAGTGTGATATGAATCCAAATGGCATGAGAATCAAACTCACATGAATGAATGATTTCTCTACAACAAAAACCAAATGATGTGGCCAAGCATCAATAACATCTGAAAATATGTTATATTTTGAAACAAAAATGATTTAAGGCTTCACAACACACTTGTGAATTACACTATTTTTTCTAATGCCCAATAACTCAAAAACTATCCATTTTTTGACTTTGTGGCTATAGAGACTTTTGAACAGAGACACTAGAACTAAAAAACAGCAGAGATTCAGTCAAATTCACTGGAATCTGTTTCTCATAAGAAATCCTTTAAATGAACTTAAAATTTAATTTCTCAATTCCACTAACCCAGATTTCAAGTGCTCAATAGACACATATTGGTAGTAAATATTGTATTAAACATCTTTAGATAGTTTTATGTAAGAACCAAGATTTACTGATTGATATTATTTCACTAGGCTATATTCATATCTTTGAAAATTCACTAGGTTTTCCCCAAAACTATATATATAGCACAGTCTTGATACTTTAAGTTGATTGGGAATGAGAGAATCTTAAACTATTAAAAACTTGAAGTATAAGGAATATATAATGATACATCCATTATATTACATTAAAATATCAACATAATATTAATGATAACAATAATAATATATTGTGTTTAAAATACATGATGCCCTGTACTGTACAGGGCATCATGTATTATAACACAATATATATCATAATCATATTTGGAAATATCTGGCAACCATATCATTTCACAACATAATAAATTGAAAGATGTTAGACCTTTTGGTGTACTTGCAATTTCACTGTATGGTGTCCAATCACATACTTGATTTGAACTACCCAAATATGTAATTTTTATGCATTCTAGTTGAATACATGTACTTTGGCTGAAGGATGGTAGTGCCTTCAACTATGAAGATTCTATTGTATATAATGTATAAAAGAATATCTTCATAATTTGTTTTTCTTTCATAGCTCATAATTTGTTTTTCTTTCATAGCAAGTATCAAGACTGTGCTTCACAACAAAGGCATATAGTGATGTTGATCTTTATTTTGAGGCTCTTCTCCATCTAAATATGTGAAACTAGTTAAAATCATCCTTCTGGTGGTAGCACAATGTAAAAATATAAGACTGATAAATATCTAGGGCAAATATACAATTAAAACTTCACTAGGTTAGAAGAAACACTCCAAAAAATATAAAAAAGTGTCTTCATAATTTTGTCCTTCTGAGACTCTTCTTCACCTCAACTTATTTTATCAATTCATACCTTTATTCTAATTATTTTATTCAAATAAACATGCTTATCATTTAGTATTTTATTTATGAACTAAAAAATAAAATAAAAACAAGAAAATGAAATACTTTTGTGTCTATAATTACTCTTACTATTTACTGTTGTAAATATTTTAAAATTAAACTTTATCATCTTTGCAGGTACAAACACAGTTATATTTTAGAATACTTCTCCATGTCTGCTTTGATAATTTTCTTTTTCATTTAAAATCAAATTGCATAGTTAATATAAATTGCATTATTTTCAATTTAACAAAAATGCTATTTATGCATTATTTATTTATTTCAACAACTAACTATAAATATTCAGTAATACAATTCATGCAGCTAGGCAATAATGTCAAAAATATTTAGTTGCATAGAAAATGTTTCTCTCTTTATATATCATCATCACATTCAACCAAATATTGCATGCAAATATAAATTTTCTATTTTATAACCCCTTCTTTTGCTGTTATATTTATGTATGTATATATGTATTCTAATACTGAAATAAAGTTTACAAAGATATAAGCAAAAGGATTAAGAAATGAAATTAGAAAAGTGAAACACTATTAATAACAGAATCTGTAAATAAATTATTATATTTTTAAAGTAACTCACTTGTTTCCAGATGTAACTTCTACAGCTGTGTATATTGTTTTATCACAGTCAAAATTTTCAATCAACATTCCATAATAATTATTAGCTATTTGTTCAAATGTCCCCCCTCTTTCTCGAAATGTCTGAAGAACTTTCTTAACACTATCTCTTCCATTCAATGTTGCCTAAAAACATAAAAATATTTGTTTAATTAAAATATATTTTCTGTTCAGAAATTTTTAAATGTAGGAAAATTTAAATATCACATTAGCATAACTTTCCTTCATTTTAATTCTTCTATCTCATATTTAAATAATCATATGCATTATGTTAATCTCTAAATTATGTAAGATTGTGTTTGTCTCCTTTTCTGTACTTATTATCAAAATCTAATACAATAAATTTAAATACTAAATACAATAGATTATGTAATGTTACTAATAATATACATTGTGTTTGAACTTATGATTACAATATATTGCATTTTACATGTATAAAAATAGTAATTTATATACTGTAATAATAATTTTCATTCAACAAATGATAAAACACAAAATAATGAAACAAAATTCACTAATTTACATTATATAAATCAGATATAAATTATTGGTAAAAGTTTCAAAGCTTCTTTGTTTCTTATTAAAATTGTTTTGTTTCCTTTTCCTTTCCAATTAGAATAAGCCTTCAAATACATTGTCCTGTCATATTTTCTGAAATTTAGATGCATCCAATATGATATTATAAATTTTAACATTTTTTGCTTCTAACGCTATGTTATAAGTGTTAATGTTCTTCACAATATCTATATATTTAAAAGCAAACAAAGTCACTTAGTTCACATATTTCCCATAAATCAAATCAGGTCTTAAACTAAACCTCATGACCTATGTGCAGAAAAACTATAACAATTTAAATATATTTTGACTTTATTGAATTATTAATGATTTTAGCAGTTTTTGGTCAGTCATGTAAGCAGGAATCCTGTCATACAGTCTATTACTACAATTTTTTGCACTGCACAATAATTTGTATCTTAAATTAATAATTTTGACATTTATATTTCATAAAAAATATAAATCTTATCAAATACTTCATTTTGACAGTATTATTCATCAGCAAGTTACCAAAAATGTTGAATTTATTACACATATCTCATATTATTATTTTACAGCATAGAATCAAGTACCACAGTTTGATTTCAAAATAACATTATATGATATTTTCTACATGTTGATTATTTTAGCAATTTTAGATTTTGTTTAAATATGCTTAAATTAAATTAAATAACAAAAATTTATTAATACTAGGTAGCCAGTTAATTAAAATTGAAAATAATAATTAAAACTCTGCCCTTTACACCAAAACTGAAACTAAAACTAAAATCAAAATTAATTAATTAATCGAAATCATATCAATTGAAGCATAATATTTTGGAAAGTGTGGATAAAATACTTGTTTTTGGTCTTGATTGATTTGGTTATATTTCATCCAGGAAGTCAGAATTGAGAATCTTCTCTATTTATAACATTTCTTTGTAAAGTGTTACAGTAGTTTTGGTTGGCAGTGATTTTGCTTTTAATATATATACAGATATAGAATATATATTTCCAATCAAGCTGGTTCAATGCCCACCAGATGGCAACTCTAAAGTCACCCTATCAATTCTAAAATGGGCACACCAAGTGTAATCTCTCATTGCTCTGACTACATGAAAGAAAAGTCTACCATAATGGACATCACCTGTTATATGGGGCTTTGCATAAGCTCTTCTTTGTCAGCAAGAAAGTTTCCAATAAACTAATACTTAATTGTTAATATTGTAATTTTGAAAATTTTTAATATTTGATTGAAACAAATAATTAATTTTCTTATAAAATGTGGAAGAATCATTTTTAAGAATCAGAATCATGATGAGATTTGCTTGATTCCAATCCCTGAAAAATGTTCAATTTTTCTGATTTTTGATTTTGATTAGTCGTCTCGTCATTAGTTTTTATGCAGTATAGATTTATTTTTTTTTTATGTATTGTTATCATATGTGTGATAAATTGTAAGTTGATTTTTGAACTCTGAAGACATTTATGAATTGTCACTCAGTGACTGCATAGATTGCATTTGTAATTATAATCCCTAAGATTATTCAAAGAATGTTTTGATTAAACTCTTCTTACGTGATTACTGGAAAACATATAAATTAACACTCCAAAACCTTTAAACATCCAGTAGTAATCAATTTAATAATAAACAAACGTTTTTGACCATACTTTCGGTCTTCATCAGGTTTAAAAACCAGTTAGATTTGAACCTGTGCAAGCGTAGAACAATGTTTATGAATTACTACTGGACATTTAAAGGTTTTGGAGTGTTAATTTGAATGTTTTGATATAACATTTTGACATGAACCTACAAAAAAAGTTGAATAGCATTAATTTACCATTTTCAGTTAGTAAAACTTGAAAAAAAATTATTAGTTTAAATTCAAAAAACTGAAGCATATAAAACTTATTAATTTATTAGTTTTCTCTGCATTAGTTTTATGAATTTGGATTGGTATAATTTAGCGTTTAAATACAGTATATACTTTTGTTACACACTGTATTTTGCTTAAAGAAATGTGAGAGGGAGAGAGCTACCCAAAGTTATCAAATGATATTTTCACAACTTACATATGACTGTGATTGTTTCATTTTAAATGAAGAAGCTAAGGAGACAAAAAGTTTCTGGAGGGAGTATCAGGATATTCAACATTTATTTTCTCTTCACGTCACAATTTCAATAAAAGGCAGAAAAGAGAGAGATAATCTTGAAAGTAGAGAAAATAAAGATGCATTTATTACATGTATTTTTGAGAACCTGTAAATAAGCCCAATTATTAGATGAAAGCAAATTACTCTTNCGCCTAAGAATTTTTAGAATGACTGTGTTTTTTATTTTTACTAAAAATTTTACCATCTGACGGAATTTCAAAACAAAAAGGTTGCTGTAGAAATCGCAGGGGATGAAAAGAACAGTTACTCATAGATTCAGTCATTCTACAGCAAGCACACAAACAACACAGAAACATACACATGGCATATATAGACTACAGAAAAGCATTCAACAGTGTTCCATACAGTTGGCTGCAACATATTCTACACATATACAAAATACATCCATCACTTGTTGCATTCTTCCAAAATACAAAATACTATGCAGCTCTGGAGAACAACACTACATCTTAGGACTCATAACACTTCCATACAAACAAACCAAATATTCATTAGGTAAGGAATTTTTCAAGGAGATTCCCTAAGTCCTATCTGGTTCTGCTTAGCCCTGAACCCATTATCCAACATGTTAAACAACATGCAATATGGTTACAATATCAGACATGAAAAAACAATACAGTTTACACTGTCACATCTCATGTACATGGACGACATAAAACTTTATGCATCCACACAGAAACAACTTCATCAACTCCTACAAATCACACACTCATACACTAAGGACATACAAATGGAGTTTGGCTTAGACAAATGCAAAAAACTTCACATAGAAAAAGGAATCCTGAAGAAAGAAGATTTTGCACTTGGAAATGGAGACGTTATTGAATCCATGGAAGAGGGCGAGTTCTACAAGTACTTAGGATTCCAACAGGCCAAACTAACAGAACATACACAAATAAAGCAACGATTAATTAAAGAATACCAAAGTAGGTTAAACGCTATACTTAGAACACAGTTAAATGCAAAACACACAGTTAAAGCAATAAACACATATGTCATCCCAGTACTCACATACTCTTTTGGAGTTATACATTGGACTCACACAGATCTCGAGCAACTCCAAAGGAAAACAAGAACAACACTTACTAAGCATAAACAACATCATCCTAAATCCGCCACAGAAAGATTAACCCTTCCACGTAAAGAAGGCGGACGTGGCCTGATTGACATAGTTAACCTTCACTACAAACAAATACAGTCACTGCGAGAGTTTTTCTACAAGAAACAAGAAACATCACAGTTACATAAAGCAGTAACTCTAGCAGACTCAAATAACACACCATTAAACTTACACTCACAACATACAGACATGACACAACATATAAAAAGCATAGACAACATTAAGCAATCATGGGCTCAAAAGGCTCTCCATGGCAGGCATCCTTACGACCTGGCCCAGGATTTTGTTGACAAAACTGCGTCAAACAGCTGGTTAGATCGGGGATGCCTCTTTGGGGAGACGGAAGGATTCATGATTGCCATACAGGATCAGGTCATAAATACTAAAAACTACAGAAAACACATACTCAAAGATACAACACTCACAAATGACACATGCAGAAAATGTCACATCATGCCAGAAACTATACAACACATCACTTCTGGTTGCAAGCTCTTGGCACAGACAGATTACTTACATAGACACAATCAAGTAGCAAATATAATACACCAAGAGCTTGCAAAGAAACACAAATTGGCAGACATCCACGAACCATACTACAAGTATATTCCACAGACAGTATTGGAAAATAACACGCACAAAATGTATTACGACAGAGCCATAATCACAGATAAAACAATTTACCACAACAGACCAGACATCACACTCATTGACAAACACAATAAAATCACATACATTATAGACATAGCCATTCCAAACACTCACAATGTACAAAACACATGCACTGAAAAAATTATCAAGTACATAGAACTTGCCCAGGAAATAAGGCATCTGTGGAGGATGGATAGGGTGCTTATTGTACCTGTCGTTCTCTCCTGTACAGGTGTGATACCACACATACTACACAAAAGCCTGGGAACATTACAATTGAGTATAAATACATACATTACACTACAGAAGGCCACTATATTGAATACATGCCACATTGATAGGAAATTCCTGAATACAGACACACACACTGACACACTTATTTAATTTTAGTTTTGTTTTGGTTGCTATGCCTTGACTCTGGTCTGGCATAGTACACAGCCATCGGTGTGAACTGAGTATAACTCACAAAACACATAATAAAAAAGGTTTTATTTTGGGAGTCAGAAACAAATTAATCCATTTTATATTGTTTCTTACGGGAAAACTTGTTTCAGTTTGAGAACAAATCGATTTTTGAACAACTTTTAAAAACAAATTAAGTTTGAAACCAAAAGTTTCACTATATTATTCTTTTGACCAAGAAATTACTGGTTTAAAAAATTTATTAATAAATGAAGAATAAAATTTTTTATAATACCTTTCCTGTCATTGATCTTAGGGCTTGGTCTTTTTTTGATAATTCTTCTTTTAACATTGCCAAATTTTGTTGCATTGCATTTTCTTGTCTCCATAATTCACTAAAATATAAATTTATTTGTATTAATACTTGAGGAAGTTATTGAATCAATAATAAAGTATTTCAGAAAAAATTCAATTGATTTAAACACAATATGAATTTAGAGAATTTACAGATTTACACACTATACCAAAATTTAGCTTAAAATGAACCCACACTAAAACTACTAACTAGTAATGCTTCTTTAAGCCAATTAGAAATAAATTATACTGATTCAATTGGGGACTGGGGTTGTTCAGAGAATCGATTTTTCAGATAACCGATTATGTACAAAAAAAAATACATTATTAATATAGTATATTAGTATATCCCAATAATAGTATATTAATATATCCCATGTTTAAATTTTTCTCCGTTGCATGTCGCTTCGCATTGAATTTTCGTCAATGTTAAGCCTAACAATAATTTTTATAATAATAATTGCGGCTATTGTATTGTTAGAAATTGTTTCTTTATTTTGTACAAATAAAATAAATATATTGAAAAATATAAAAACAAAAAAAAATTATACTTTAGAAGTTAATCTAGTATCCAAAACATTAGATTCAGCACAACACATTCTGACTGGAACGCTTTTGGTTAATCGATGTTTCGGTTGATCGGCATTCAGATAATCAACGCTCTACTGTACTTACAATGTTTCTAGTAATGTAACTAATTAATAAAAAAATTAAATGAAAAAAAATGTAAAATTTTTTACTCAAAAAGGTGAGATAATGAATCATTTATACCTAAATATAATATATATATGCCAAATTTGTTTATAATTTATTTCTAATTGGCTTATTGGCTTAAAAGTAGCATTTCTAGTAGTTTCAGTGTGGGTTCATATATATATATATATATATATAAAATAAATATTTAATTTAATCTTTTATTGCTTTATATGCTATAAACCAGTGCTACTCAATCTGTGGTCCACAAACTGTTTATTGGACACAACAAGATTTCATTTAAAATTTCATAATCTTATAATATAACCAAGATGAGTTGATAATGATAATAATAATAAGCACAGAGCCCAAATGGTTAGGAGTTGAAAGTTGAAATTTGGTACAAAGTTAGGGTACATCATGAGAACATACACTAAGAAGGGATTTTTCGAAATTTCCCCCACAGAGGAGAGGGACAGGCTTACCGTGAAGAACTCTGCTTTTATTATACTATTTTAGATGTGGTATTTTGCATTTTTGATTGCGTTTTAATAGGGTATGCCATGAGAACGCATACTAAGAAGGGATTTTTTGAAATTCCCACTGCGGAAGAGGAGAGGGTTAAGGATTACCCCGAAGAACTCAGCTTCTACTGTACTATTTTAGATGTCTTTCTTGCATTTATGCAAGAAATAATCAAACATATTTTTAGACCCTTCTAAAAATTCTCAATGACATTTAGTTTTCCATCATATATAAAGTTGACACAGGGAGCACATGCACATAAGTTTGCTTTATTCAAACTCCATCTTAATGCTCAATTTTATGTTTGAATTTATGTTTATGAATGATTCTGGAAGATCCAGCTTATTCTGGGTTCTTCAGGTTTACTAAATTCAAAAAATAATTTTGAATTTAGTAAACCTGAAGAACCCAGAAAGTTACAATAAGTTTATTATTCATCACTTAGTGGCACTACGCACCGGTTAGCGGTTGCAGTGAGTCTTATTTATCATTATATCGGTGTGGTAAGCAGATATCTAAAAATTTTCTACTTAATCTCGGAAGAGAGGGGACCTAATTCTTGCACTCAATGAAAATGGGTAAGATTGGCTATAATCTAATAATCTTAATCTTTGCTATCGTTACTTTTTGTTCAAGCAATGCTGGGCTCATCTGCTAGTTTTATATAGTCTTTTAAAAACATTATTTTATAACTTTCATTTTTATCTATTATTTAAACACTTAGTAATAGGTAAATTGGCAATAAAAATTGGCTTGAGAAATTACTTGAAAATGGTCCACAAACCTTTTCTCTTTCAAAATGATTACCAAATTTTGTTATTGTATTTATCTTACTAATTCAATCTAAAAATTAAAATTAAAACAAAATGCATTTAAACCTTTGTTCTTTCCATTTTATAATTATTTTTATTTCCTTACAAAAATACTCATCTGCAATGGATTGGAATAAAAAAAAAATAATTACATAAACACAAAGTTTGAGGTCCATAAACACAAAGTTTGAGAATCACTATAAACCACTAATCATTTTGATTTATTGAAAAAGATATCTTAAAAAAAATTCACAATATAAAAAAATATATGTACAATTTTTTTTATTTAATAATTTTGCAAATAATTCTGAATCTCTAATAATTTCATTCAATAGTTTCATTTTAATTAAAACTGTTTATAAATATTTTTATAGTTTAAAATTAATTTAAAACAATGTTGTTATTTAGTTTTTTGGTAAAATCTCTGAATCTGTCTTATTTTCCTATTGAATATTTGTATTATAAAGCTTGACATGGATAACCAAAAGTTAAACAGATATATTTCTAATAGAAATTCTAAAAACTAATTTAATAATTTAATATTTTATTTCTTAAGTTAACATATTTTTATTATTAAATAAAGAATATGTTACATTATTATATTACAAATAAAAATTTGATAATACAATAAATTGTAACAGAAATAAAAAATACATATATTTTCCAAAACTAATTGTTTCTTAAAATTTATAGATTTCTGTGATAACTTTTTCAGTCAAAATGTGCCAGTATGATTTACAGGCATATATAGCATAAAAAATATTAATATCTGATATGCAATTTCTTAGTGAAAACAATTCAATATGTTCAGTTGCCATACATGAATAACAGCAATATTTTTTTTTTTTAGAAAAATAGCATTGTTTATAAGATATAAAGCAATACTACAAAATAAAAATGTTCTCGTAATAAAGAATTCAAAGTTTAATACAGTAAGACCATGCTTAATGCTTATTTGATATAATACAGTCTGCTCGAAGCCTAAAAAAAAGCTCAAAATTTACGCTGATTCAAATTATCGCAGCATTTTGTTGATTCGTTTATAATACGATTATTCCCGAACACGAACCAATCAGCAAAAGGTGGAAATTCATCATAGCACTGTACTTTCATTAAATCTATGTTTATTTGCTGCAATTTTGGAAAAAATATAACATCATGGATGCCATAGGCAATATCAACTTTGCATAGCAAAAATTAACTGATAAATGCATGAATGCAGTGTGAAAGAAGTTATGGCTGAAGGTATCCAAGAATTCTCAACAAGAAGAGCCTACCACTGCATCATTAGGTTAACAATCGATACAGCAGGACTAGATGTAGACAAGCAAGATATTGAGGAGTTACTGCAGGTTTGTGGTGAGAGCCTTACCAACGACGATCTTCAAAAACTGGCAGAACAAAGAATTCGTGTAGAACTGGAAAATAGTGATTCTAAAACGAAGAACCCAAAGAATTTCTCTACAGATTTCCTTAGTAAAAATTTGGTAACAATAACTGAAAACATTGATAAAACTGTAGCAAATGATCCAGATTTTGAAAGGAGTGCAAAAGCAAGACAAGGCATTTTGGATGCAATCTCCCGCTACCAACATTTGCAACTGCTAACAACTTAATATTTAACATATATTATTATGCAAGTTAATATAAAAATAACTTAAAGTAAAATCTGTTTATTTTTGGTCATGTGTTCCCCTTTCCCTATTTACTCTATGTTAAAATGACCTCATTTAATGCTTTGTCTTCTAGGAACGCATCCCGTGTTAAGCGAGGTCTTACAGTATTTTTATTTTATAAATTTTATTATTTATTCTTAAAAAAAAAATATATATATATATATAAGAATTTTTTTATACTTTCTTTCATTTTGAAGTGTATCTTTCTTCTTTTTCATTTCATAAAAATTTTTATTTTGGTTATCAATACTGATGCGGTGATTCTCTAATTCTTTGGTTAATTCCTAAAATATCATATAAAATTCTATAAATTATATGTTCTTTAATGTAAATCAAATATAAAATATTATACAAGTATGAATTACATGTATTAAATAGAAATCATACACACAAAATATATATAAACAGAGATTTTTTTCCTATTAATATACAATTTTATTATAATTTTTCTACAATTTTCACAAATTGGCCAGCATGTCAGTCAGTTAAACTGCAACTAAAAAATCAAATTATTCAGATCTAACAAAACTAGTTGTTAAATAAATGTTCAAGAAAATATTCTTCAGTACAATAAAATAACAACATTGTAATTTGACTGAGTTACAACCAGGAAGAGAGTTTTCATTTATAGGACAATAAAATAATTAGCATCTTATTGGTAGTAGTAGTAGTAGTAGTAGTAGTAAGACAGTCAGTGTGGGCTTCACTGACAATCTATCCTAACTTTGAAAGATAACACCTCAAATTTCATACAAAGTAGATGTTAATAGGTGTAAAATAAAATAATTTACAGTAAGTTTCTGATGTTTATTTTTGCATTTTTGGATCAAATTACAATAAAATAAATATTAAAAAAAAGCACTTTTAGCAATCCACAAGTATTTTACATAGTTAGAAAGACAACAAAATGGAAAAATTAATCATATAATTATAGTTTTTGATGTAATGCTGACAGTTTCACAATTTTAGAATAAACTCGTGTCTATGAGTTTCAGGTACACTCTAAAGAGAGATGTATAACCTCACTTAAACTGACATGCTGGCATTCTACAGGAGATAAACCAACATGCTGTTTTTTTTATCATACTATCTGATTTCATGGTCTCCTCGGATAGACTGACAGGCAGACAATCTGCAAAATACACTATATATATATATATATATANATCATAAATATCGTCATCATTTATTTTTTGCCAGACTTAAAATACCACACGAGGAAAATAATAAATGCCAATGATTTCAAAAAAGTTAATAAAATAAAAATTTATCAATATGACATAATGTTAAGAAAACTTTGGAATATTTATTTATTTATTTATTAACTGCCTACATTGAAGAGGGTAAAAGACATTTCTAACAACAGGGTCTGTACAGGTAATTCTATCTGAGATTCCCTGACCTATTAAAGTATCTGCATTTCATTTATTTTCATTATGTAATATTTGACCAAGTCTATTTAAGCACATTTTATACACAATTATAAATTTTTTTTAAATTAAAAAAAAACTTTATTCACTTACAAAAGAATGAAAAACTTTCTACAAAATTACCAAATTATACTTTTTTAACACAAACAAGCAGAAAAAAAAAGGTCAAATCAATGTTATGCCTAAACAGTAATGCCTACAACACTCATCCAAACAACTCAAGTATGAATGCTAAAAATCCATTTACACTCTTGCCAAAATGTGTTGACAAGAGTCAATCCCCTTATATAGCTTATTTAATAAGGTATATTGTTTTGTAGCCATTAAATAAATTATAAGGCAGCATTTATGAAATTAAATTGTTATGAAAATTGAGGAGGGGGCAGAAATGCAGAAAGTTTGGAAACCACTGGATTACATAATTAGTCATGTCATTTCTACATCATATAAAAAAATTCATGATTTTATTTAAATTAATTCGTAAATTTTATTTAAATAAGAAAAAGACTCGTGTTGTAAAATTAAATTTTCTTAGTGAGGAGGCAGGAAATTCAAAATAATTTAAACAGAACAAATTGCGCACTCCATGAGAGGGAGAAATCACTTAAAACATGCTATTTTTGGTCCAGCATGGACTCATTCAAGATCATTTACATTTCTGAAACTTATAATGAAAGCAGTGAAGTTTTGGCAAAATGGGTCATTGTCAATGGTGTTTTTGAAAACCCGACTTTAACTCTATGGCAATATTTTGGTATACTTCCGGAAAATGTGGACTTTCAAAATTCCACAGGCCTTTTATCTAACTGCATTCAGATGAAGATTTGCAGTTAGATAAAAGATATATCACAGATAATCAATCCATAAAAACTGGGAGAATTATTATCTCCACATACTGCATGTGGCCAGCAGTAAAGAATACAATGAATTGCATGAAGTCTGCCACATGGTTCAAAATGTCCTATAGACAATATTGTTTAGCTGACTGACAGTTTTTTGCCTTCCCCATGACATCAACTGACTGCAAAATATTAACAAGGTGTCATACAGGTAAAAAAAAAATTGGGATGATTGTGTATGGGACACAATCGCAATTATTTAAGGTGTGAATCTGTCTTTGTGTTATTAGAGGAAGGATAAGATATAAACAAATGAAATCTTGATGATTATCACAAGTCAGTATCTATTGGTTCAGGTGGCAGCATACTCAAAGTATCTGTATTGGAGTGACATGCTTGATTTTACACTCTATACAATCTGCATTGTTCAGCATTAGTCATTTTGGGCTTTTCTGATTCCTTTTAAATTTTTCTTTCTTATGATATATGTTTCTTACATTTTTGTCAATATTTCCTTTGCAATTTCTTTGACATTATGAAAATTTTCTTCAACTTGCACACTTATCAGCTTATAACTTTACAAAGTTATAAGCTGATAAGTGTGCAAGTTGAAGAAAATTCTATTTCATTCATTATTATTCTAAATAATATTGCAGATCCTGTCATTCTGTACAAATCAACATGAATTTCAACATCCGATCTCTTCGTGATCCAAAGTTTCACTGCCCAAATACCACATAACATAGCAAAATTTCACTGCCCAAACACCATTTTCATTGTTCATGCGCAACCACTACCCTCCTGAACACCCTCACCACCCTCATTTTAAATACAGAAATAAACTTTCTATCCAACAAAATTTAAATTGTTAGATTGTCATTTATAATTTTTGAGATATAAACATGACAAATCTTGCCATTTTTTTAGTTGCTCCAGTTTTCGTAGACTCCCTATACAGAAGTGAATTTAAAAACATATTCAGATCAAAAAGGAGTGGGAGCAACAGATTCCATGGTATTTGTGGATTCCCTGACTGTACAGGTCTATACAGACCCTGTAATAATATTACAAACTTTTTACAAATACTTCAAATTAAAAAATTTATTAAATATTTGTGACATTAGTATAAATACCATTTTTTCTTCTAAGCTATTATATTCTGATAGTTAATTTAATAAAATAGCCTTAAGTATGTCTTCAAAAATATCTTATCTGTGTCAATAAAACTCTAAAATATCTGTCAATTAATATAAAATATAAAAAACCAATCAAAATTTTTTGAATGTTTTACTTATTTTGAATAGAAAAAATTTTCACATTAAAAGCATTTACTTGAGAACCCGAAAAACAACATAATTTATAAAAATTTATTATAAAGCTTTTTGCTTAGAAAAAATCAAACATTGAAGAAAGTCAGTTAAAAAATATTTTACAAATAAACTACATCATCAAAAACCCAAACTGATTTCTAAGATTAAGATAAATTCAATATTCCATGTATTATTTTTTTAAATTAGAGTTCATTAAAATTTAATGTGTCTTAATTGTGAAATAAAGTTCATTAAAATAAATAAAGTTCATTAAAATTTAATGTGTCTTAATTGTGAAATAAAGTTCATTAAAATTTAATGTGTCTTAATTGTGAAATAAATTCATATAGCTTCATTTCACAGAGACAATAAATAAATCAAATTTTCAACTTACACAAAAGCCTTCTTAAATTTAAAAATATGGTGAATATAAAATATTTAAACTATATATCTTTAAAAAATTATCGTTTAATATTTTAGTTTTTAAATTTAAAAAAACTTTAAGACTCCTGTGAACTAAAGCTAAATTTTCAATAAATTTCATGCAAAATTTATGGCATTATATTAAAATATAATAATGTTTAAAATTTATATTTTAAATGTGTAAATTCAAATATAAAATATATTGATATATTCAAACAAATAATAAACTCATCAGTAGCATACATCAATTTTTTGTTCCAACATTGATTTCTTCTCTACATCTTTCTGCAAATCTTCCTGAAGACGATCAATCTAAAAAATAAATTAAACATTAAAATACTTATATTACAGCTTTGGTTGTAATTGGCATTTCAACTCAATAATAGAGTAAAACAAATAATTAAACTGTATCTTGATAGTTATCAATAATTATCAAATTTTATACAAATATATACAGGTTTTAAAAAATTAATATATATTTGATAAGATCTGAATAATTCAAAAGAAATTAAAAGATCAATAAGTTTATCAGATTATAAGTAAAACTTTTTTACAGATATGAAATATTATAAGCCACATTTCATACAATAATGTGTAATATTTTAAGAAAACTTATTTAATGATTGCTATCTCCATATAAAGTCATATTTAAACGGTGTTTTACATTTAATACTCATTATGTTCAATACTTTTCTACATATCAGGATTTTTATCTTTATTTGTAAAATAATTATTAAAAAATAATACCTGTTCTCTTTTATCCTTAATTGCTCTTTGTAAAGATTTTAATTCTTTTTGAATCCATTTATCTCTTTCAGCTTTTGATGTGAATTGACTTCCTCGACCTTGTTTTGCATACAACTCAGTCCTTTTCTGTTCTTTTAAACTCAATCTTAAATAAATAAAAATAATAATTATAAAGTTGAAAATCTTTTAGAAAAGAATATTATGTTATAAAATATAGTCTGTTTCAAATAAGTTGGCTTCACTATAAACCAAGCTGTAGTCAAATAATTTTGGTATTATGCCATAAAGGCATAATACTTATTATTTTTTTTTTTAATGCCTGAATTGTTTAATCTGTAGTTTTAACTTTTTAAATAATGTTTCATGCATTGCAACATAACAAATTTGTAATAAATTATATATTATTATTTCCTACAAACATGTAAAATTTTGTTATCTTAAATAAAATTGATTTTATAATTTTTCTTTTAGCTTTCTTGGAACAGAACCCCCTTTCTAACAAGAAACTCTATTGTTCAAATTTTGAGCATTCAACTTTCATGCATAATTTTAAAAATGTATTATTTGTACATTCAAAAGTTGGGAACTGCTCATACAGTATGTGCCAAAATATACAGTAATGAAACCTGCAACTTTAATGCACGTGTGTTTGTCAATGGGCATAGCTCCAGCCGCGTATTCCCAGCAGTGAAAAAGAAGTTGAATTGTGCAGTTACTGTTGGAGATGATCTCTTGAAAAAAGTATTCATAGTTGAGTATTATTTCCATTCATATGGAAGTAGTCAAAAAGGGTGACCAAGTTTAAAAAAAAAGGTGACAGAACAATTCAGAGAGAGATTTAATAAGATGGCATCAAGTAACATGGTTATGCTGCTTATTGTTACAAAATGTTGCCATTCTGGTAGTGTACTGTTTTAATGGAAAGGGAAGTCTGGTTGACCAGTTCTGGGATATGTTTAACAATCTGCATCAACAATATAAACACTGTCTACAGTGAGGTGGTGAGGTTTCGAACATTTACATTATGCATACTATGGTAAATCAATATGCTAATAGTGTGTATGTTAGTTTCTTTCAGGAGAAATAAACTGACAGATGACAACAAGATAATATTGTTTTGTCTTTTCATTTCAGTATTGTACATTTTGGTGCATATTATATATTAAAATGTTTTCCAAACAATGTATTATTTTTAAAATTTATTTAAGAGTTCAACAATGAATAATAATTTAAAAAGCATTTATCAAATAAACATTGTTTTAAATCTAGAATAAATATGGTTTGGTTCTGTTATTAGAAATAAAATAAAGCAGACCATTCTAATTTTATATATACAAATTAGAGTTATTATGTTGTGAAAGTTTTAATGGTTTCAGATATATTCAATATTTACTCATCTGAAGAAACAACAACAGCTACAACTGAGAATAACAGAAATGAAATCAAGTAATAATAGAAAACAAATTAATTATTCAAAATTAAATTATATATAAAATTAATAAAGTAGTTAGCCTCTGTTACAAGCAAGAATTTTAGTCAATTATAAAATATAAGAATGAAAATATCAGTTGGTCATAATAAAAAAAATTTATTACTCTCTTGTACATTCTTCTTCTCGTTTTTTTTGTGCTTCATACTGAGGCCTTATCTCTTCCAACTGTGTGAGTTTTTGTGAAATGGTTTCTTTCAATCTATCTAATTCTCTTTCAGCACGCTTCCTGGAACTATCATCACCTTCTACTTCATCACGCAAATCTTTGATAGTAAGTTCAAGTCGTGTTTTTTCTTTCAGCAAAGAAGACTGTTCTTGACTTAAAGCTTCTTTTTCTTCACGAAAAGCTTGTGACTTGCTTTTCACATCTCTATGTTCTTTACTAAGTTTCTGAAAATTAAATATATTTTAAATTTGGCACATTTAAATTTATTAATTCAAGTTCTAGTTATTTTTAAAAAATCATTTGAACTTAAATCAAACTGTTTAACATCAAAATCTGAAAGTAATACTAGAATGATCAAAGTTATTATAAGTACAATTTACAATAAAATTATAATTATAAATTGTAATTTACTGTATATAAAATAGTTGCAATAATATAAACTAATAAAAATTTAACTTAATAATCAATTATCTTATCTATAACTGATTCTAATGTGGTTAGAATGAACACTAATTGATTCAACAAGGACAAGGAAATTCAATCATTCCAAAAACCTTTTACAATCAACAACTTCTCACTTTGTCTTCCAGATGTGAAGAAATTTTATATGATACAACTACAATCATACAGATTATGTTCTACATGGTTATACTATTTTAGTAGTATTCTTTATAATTAAAAATAAAAAAATATATATATATATTCAAAAATTAAATTACTTTTATTTGATCTGTAGCATTTTGCAAACTTTCTCTTAATTTTTCAGTGACAGAACTACTTGTTTCTCTTCTAGTTTCTAGCTGTTAAAATAATTTAAATATTATGCATTACTTCAAATATTTGTAAAATTAGTTGTTTCAAGCAAATAAAATAAATAAAAGATTTCATTTCAAAACTCTTTAAATTAATTAAGAGATCAAAAAATTAAAAAAAAAACCAATAGCTAAACATTTTTAGTATAAATAACATTCATGTAAAACAAATAATAAGATTATTATTAACAGAGTAATGTTTTGCAAATTCTATTTTAACTTCATCATCATCAATCTGTTATCATATGGAAGGCACATACTATATAATTAAATTCTAATAACAATTAAGATTTCTAAAATATACAATGATTAAATTAATTAAAAGTTAATTATAATCATATATAAAATAATATAATAATTTAGACAGTTGTATTGTTATTACATATAATTATTAATTATTATCTTCATCATCATTATAAATCTCAGAGTTCACTAAGTCCAACATTGACTTTGAGCTTTACTTTGTGCCTTAAAATTCCTTCACTAATATTGCTCAAAAGTGATCTGATGTTCAGACAAATTATTATAGGTGCAACAACTTTAAGGCAAGAAAATTTTCAAAGTTTCCTTTATTTAAATGTTTTTACCGAGTTTTATTTTTCAACCTTGTTCCATCAGTTTTTATGGAATACTAAATGACAGGATCCTGTTGCATAAAATTTACAAGCTACAAGACTATAATACTTGTAACCTGTAATTAATAGCTTGCAACTTGTGACATTTGATCACAAGCATCTGATCATAACAGAGAACATAAACTGGATGTTATCTACTATGGTCAGATTCCCTATAATCCATTTGTGTTTGAATAGAAGTATTTTATTTATTTGAGAGACCTTGTGCATTTTTGTCAGTAATGCTTGCAATCAGCCCATGCTGAATCCACCAACCTTTTGGCTTTCTTTCCTCAGGTCCAACTAAATTAGTTAAAGGAATACATTTCTCTTCTCTCTGTTGCCAGTGTTTGGTTTGTTATGTTTACATGTTTTAACAAAATTTGATTAATGGAAAAAATCTGTTTCATTTAGTATGTAAAAGTACTCATTGTTTCTATATAGAAAATAATTTTAAAAATTTTAAAGAAATTTAATTATTTCTGTTAAAAAAGTCCTAAACAAACATAAATTTGAAAAAATTTAAATATCTGTTCCATTATAGTGTAATACTATTTGAAATTTTGATTATTGAATTTAACTTAGTTAATTTTATTTTTACCTTTGTTATTTGCTATAATATTCTTAAGTTTAATTCTAATTGATTAATTCTTTTTGATCAGTTTGTATTTTACTCAATATATATTCTAAATCTACCATAAATTCCTTATAATCGATTTTAGTTTAAATATTTAAAATATTTTGTACATAAAACCTACATTTCAAATTCAATGTTCATTTCAGAATTCTTTTTTTGAATGTGTTAACAAATCTGTTTGAATTCTATATTAGTTCTACATACATTCCACCTTGCCTGAAGATGACATTAATGCAATGTTGACAGTGCTGGTGAGTCTTGTCTAACATTAAACTGTTTTCTAATGCTAACTGGCAGTTTGTTTTTTCATTTCTATTACAATCTTGACTTGTTGCATGTTATTAAATTTGAATTAACTTGTACATTTTAGAATATGCTATATTTTGATAACATTAACCAATTAATAGCATCAACGAACTGCAATTTTCAAACTGTAGACTTATATGTCTGCAGTTTGAAATCGACTGGGAAGGACAGACAGATGAATCTCACTAGGTCCATCTAGCTGTCCTTCCTTAATCTTGAGAGCAGAGTTAGACAGATGAAAGTCAAGACCAGTAATAGAAAGCTCTGGAACAGGAGGCCCCAATTACATAAACATCTGGTCTGAACTGGAAGTCACACAATTTTCTTTTTAAATTAAAAATGATTTAAAATTGCAGCCCAGCATTGTGATGTTGTTACAATAAATAATTGCTCATTTGAGATTCAAATAAGAAAATTCTACTGTATGTTCATACTAAAATATATAAACATATGAAGAGAGTTACTCCAAATGTATTTTCTGTTAAAAAGAAACCTTTATTAATAATATTTTCTTTAAGTAATTATTACTCTAAATAGTAAATGATTACAGAGAAAACTAACACTGATTAGGATCAATAGCCTAAGACAATAAATTTATTATCAGCATAAAATAGATGAACATAAGAGTGAAACATTACCTCTTCTAATTTCTTTCTAGTATCCTTAAGGTCATGATCATATATAGTATATTCAAGAGATCTAAAATAAAAATTATACAGTTTTATGTTTATAAATTTTACAACAAAATTTTTACAAGTTCAAATATTTATTATAATTTATTTTAAAGTATTCAAAATTACATGCTTAATTCAAAATTATATCAACTTATTTAAAAAAATTTTTTATGATTTTTTAAAAATATCTGTATAAGATTCTATATTTATTTTTCTGTAGTATTTAAACTTTATAAAGAAAAATGCTTATAGTACAATACAAGAACAGATATAGATCAATATTCTTTGATAAAACAAAAATCAAGAAATACCTAATTTTCCAGCATTTGTTCTAGATTGTAAACTAGAACTTTCAACTCTTTTGAAGAATTATATTAAGATCCAACTTACAATTTATATGAATAAAGCTTAATTCTGATTAAAGTTTTAAACATATATACATTCTTCTGAAACATAAAAAAACTAACAAATCCACAAGAATATATACAGTTGTGTTGAAAACAGGATCAGAAAAACTTCTATCATTCAACAGAGCAATTCTGAATTTTTGGATAGTGATTTCTTTACTGTTCTTTTAATAAAATGCATTTCAATTAAAATAATGTTAAGTTTCACTAAATTGTATATCATCAGTTTACCACTTATACTTTTACTTTTTTGAATAAAGTCAATAAAAATACTGTTCTCTATATTTGTATAATTTGAAGTTCTCACTTGTTTTGATTTTAGTTCAGTCATGATTACTAGTTTGCATCTTAATGGCCTAGTGTACAGGGCCATTAAGATGCTACTAATGCTGTCATTGATTTACCTATAACTACAGTAAGTGGAAATTTCTTTTTGTTGTTGCATGTCTTATTATGTTTTTTTTATTTCTGTAAAAGGCCTTAACTATATTGCTTGTTAATTGACTGAGGACACATGCACTTTAGCTATCAATTAAATCCTACCTATTTCTTCATCTCTGGATAATGTTGATGACAGGATAATTGCCCTGTTAACTAGACTTGTAAAAGCCAGTAATTTATGTAATATTGTGTCATTAGAGTTATAGTTAATGAACAACTCAAACACAGTGGATTTACAGTAGACTTTGGTATAAAGGCAGTTATTTTCTGAAATATAGTTATATCCAAAAAGTTAATTTGATAGAAGCTGCTATCAGATAACACCAACGATTCTCTAACTGCATTATTGTTGATCAATATTGACTTAGCTATTTTATAAATATGTTGCCAAGTTTTATGGAATATAGGTAAAAGATATCATTTATAGTTTTTAACTTTAATTGTGTAACAAAAGAGTTAATTTCCAGTTAAATATTTTAACAGATTATAGGATTTATTAATGAATAATAAATAAATAAAAACTATAAAACCACTCTCTTTAATTCTTTGTTTCAAGTTCTCCATTTCAATATGACTAGACTCACTCTTTGATAAGAAATAAATTTTTTATTCTCAGAAATTTGGCTTTTATAACAGAAATAAAATGTGCTTTTTTCTTCTTTTCAAAATCAGTTTTAGGACTGTGGATTACTAACAAGGTATATTTCTTTTATATCATAAAACATGTTAAACTTCAGTAATTTAGCAATTTTAAAACATCTTTCTCTAATTAAGAATTCTAGCTAATTAGAAATTTTAGTTTGCAAAAATGATCTTTTAAAAAATTAATAGTACCAATTCATTGAAAAAGCATTTAATTAAAAACAGCAAAATAATTAAATGATTAAACATGCAAGCAAAATTCATTTTAATCCTAACTTTGCATTTTTAAAAATCATTTTGCTCATTTACAACTTTTCATATTGTACACAATTTTTTAGATGGGTACAATTATATAATAATTGTGCACCTGATACCTGGGTACAAAAAATGTACTTGATGTTCAGCACTAACCATTGATATCCTTGAAATCATAATTCAGAATAGCAGAAAAGAGCAAAAAGTTTTTTTATTATTTATTTCAGTAATAAAAATTCAGAAAAACAGAATAAAAATTTGATAACAAAATTCAGCAGAATTTTAGTATATAACTCCCACTATTTTAAACTTATAAGCTAACATCATAATCATTTAAAAAATTTATAAAATTATGTGAGAACCGAGAGGGTAGAGCACCGAGCTTCTCCCCACTTATCGGCTTCTTTGTCAGGGATGGTCGATGTGGTCAATGAATAGGAGGGTAAGCGAGATTGTGACGAAGTGTCTGTCATACTCAAGGATGACACATAATTAGATATATAAGAATAACATCTAATTATCTAAAGCTATACAAACCAGTTCAAATCAAAAGGGCTACAAAAATGGAATAATCCAAAATATTTCTATATTGCGACAAGGAATATACGATCATTGATATGTCGTCTAATATCTAGCCTCTATAAGGCACAATATCGTCTAAGATCAACTAGCCTAAGTCCAAGCTATGATCGAGAGAGCAAGAGAGAGAGTTTTTAAGAATTTTCAAGGGTTACCTCTTTGTCCCCAATCTCTTCAAATGGGCCGTTGGTAAGAACTGTCCCCGAATCAGCTGACTAATTGTAGTCTCCCTTCTCCTCGGATCTGGTTCATCGAGAGACAAACAGCGATTATGGCGGGAAGGCAAGGGTTACAATGAACAAAATGGCAGTATGGGTCTGGTGTCCCCTGATGTCTGTCTGATACTATCAGCTGTGGACGTCTGCCCCGAGGGGCAAGTGCAACCCCTTTTTATACCCGTTCCAAAGGGGGAAGAAGTTTGGGGAACATTCTGATGCAATTCCATGTAAGTTCGTGTCAGGAAAGGTTTCAATTTCTGACAATTAGTATAAACATTTCTGTAGATTTATCACTTCTTCTATCTGGTATTATCACTCTTTCTAACTCATAAATTTGATAATAGTTGTCAAACTAACAGAATTAATGGCTGGAGGTGACTAAGGTTAGGATATGTAGTGCAACCTTAGTAATAATTGTTCATTTGGTGGGTCATCCGATCGGTTTTATCATCGTTAAAATCCAACGAAGTAGGAAGTGTGTGGGTTGTGTTTTTCTCTCATCTCAGAAAGGGTTAAAAGGTCACTTCTCGAGGTGACATAAAAATTGAATTGATGAAAAAATAATGATGAGAAAAAATTATCAAAGCTCCAAAATTCACACAGAGCTCGAATTCTCATAATTAATTTAACAAAAGTTCAACAGATTTCAAATATTGGGTTGTTCAGAAAGTAATTTTGTTTTTTTCCATGGAAAAAAAAACAATATTTTCATAATAAATAAATATTTTATTGAATTATATCGACCATTTTGGTCAAATACCTGTTGTCATCGTTTCTGGTAGCAGCATGATTTCACATTCATAAAAGTTTTGATCGTTGCTTACAAAAAACTGATCCAAATGATTTTTGACATTGTCATTTCAAGTAAATGTCTTACAGTTAAAAAAATTTGTATAGACCGTAACAAGTAATAATCTGAGTGTGCTCAATCTGGCAAATATGGTTGGTGTGATAGCATGTCCCATCTAAGTTATAACAGTGTGAGAACTGAGGGGATTAGTTGTCCCCACTTACTGGCGGCTCTGTCAGAGGATGGCTTTATAGGAGGGTGAAATGAAATGAGTGGGGATGTCAATGAGTAAGTCGACAGGTTTCCAAATAAATACACAGATTGAACAAGAATAACACATTTAATAAATAACCATAAAACTATACATGTCAAAGGCAAAAGTGAATAGCTATAAAAATTCTATTCTACATCGCGAAAATGATTCGTCTTTCTTATGGAACATATAAGTTCTATTCTCTAAGTTAAACTAAGACACGAGAGAGAGAGTATACAAATAGATTTCTTAAAAATATCTCTAAGTTCCTGATCCATAATATGGGTCGTTGGTAAAAACGTTCCTGGATCAGCACGGCAGTTATGGCGAGGTGGCGACAGATAGGATGGCGGTATGGGTCAGTTGATGTCGCAGTCGATGTCCCCTGCTGATGTCCGTCTGGTGGAATACGTCCAAGTCCTCTTTATACTATTTTTGAGGGGTGAGAACTGTCAAATAGTTGATGATTTATAAGAACACCTGTCAGCTGTGTCCAATCTAGATCAAGCTGGTATGGAACATTGCCGATGTATTCTTTGGTTGTATCATTGACATTGGTCTACTAAAGGTGAAATCTTATGATATAAATTCCTACGAATTTGATAGTTCTCTCCCATTAATTATTATATATTTTGACAATATCTTCTCAGATTTGACAATAATTTCTAAATTGTTTATATTAAATATTGCATTAGTCGACAAGAGAGAGAATTATTATCATGTTGTTTTGGTTATCGTGCAGGTGTCCACAGACACGTGCCACATGCAGCTAAAGGAGGAGTGAGAAACGCCGCTTATTAGTTTCTTTTAAACATCTGTTCTTGCCTTGTTGATTTTATCATCGATCTAATTTATCAGTATAGACTGTGACACTTAACCTGAGGAAAGAGTTTTGATCGTTGATTGTAGACTATCCCTTTTTTTTCTGTAGAATTATTAGGGTTAGGAGGAGAACAATACTGATTTAAACAATACAAAAAAATGAGGGGAGAGCAGAATATCACAATAGTTTCTGACGAGTTACCAAACTTGTGTGAAATTTGACATTATCGTGGTCAACAAAACACTACACCTGTTTTATTGATCAATTCTGGCCACCTTTTCTGTTTGATGATATTACTCAGTTTGTTTACTCGATGGCAGTACACTTTCGAATCAATTGTTAAATTGTCTGGTAAAAGCTCCAAAAAAAACTTCCTTAAAATCCCACCAAAGAGAGCATCTCTCTTTAAGAACATGTGGAACCCATATATCAAGCTTTGAAACGAAACCAATTTGTTTCAAGTAATATGCATAAACAGTTCAATTTGACAAATTTAATCTCTTAGCGATTTCATGTGTTGTTATTCGGCAGTTCGCTTCAATCAGTGCCTTTATTTTGTTTTCATTGGCTTCAACTGGCCATCCAGAACGTGGTGCATCTTCAATATTGAAATTGCCAGAAAGAAATTTTGTAAACCAGGCACCGTCATTCTGTCAATACATCTTCTCCATACACCGTTTTGGCACCGTCGTTCTGTCAATACATCTTCTCCATACACATCACACAATTTTTTTCTTCCTTGAACAGCATTCTTACCTTTTCGGTAATAAAAGAGCAAAATATGCCGAAAATGCTGCTTTCGATCTTTCATATTTGATGGGACACAAAAAATAAACAATTGCACAAAATCAAACAAAATTGTTTACAAATAAGTCTTAAAATGCTAGCTGTCAAAATATATAATGATAATACGGTTTAGAATGAAAATGGCGGAAAAAATACGACTAATCCATCTAGTGGTAAAAAAAAAAGAAATTACTTTCCGAACAACTCAATATTAATCTTTATCATGTGAAATGACTTAAAAGTACTGCAGGCAAAATTTCCTACTGGGTGTTGAAAGTGATCCTATTGACTGCATCTCATAGCTTTCTTATATTTATTCCCATAAAACTTAATCTTTTGCATTCAAAGTGGTTCAACCCATCAGATCAATAATTTGTTTAAAGTTATAAGTGAATTTTTACATTATGGTCTATTATAGTCTGATATGTAAAGTACATATTGTACTGTAATCAGAAAAATGAAGCCAATATGCTTCATTTTTGCACATTAATTTTGAAAAACTAGTTAACTTATTGGTTATGTTTTATCAATAAGTGAGATAATGTAAAAATTGCAATTAATTAGTTAAATTCACAATACTAGATAACATGAAGCTAAGGGTGAAGGTTGGTCTTTTTTAAAAATAAAATTTCTTGCTATCAGATTTAAAAAAAAAAAAAAAAAAACATATTTCACAAGTTCAATAAGAAAAATATTTTTGAATGAACTGTGCTTTTTGCATGATTCTTTTACCAATAATAAAAATATGCAGTTAGAAAAATGATCAGTACTTTTGCATAACTTCTGACAGCAGGCAAAAAAGATCACTAATAAAATGCTAGTCTGTAGAAAAAATTAACTTTGTAAAAATTCACCATCAATAAACACACATTATTTTATGAAATAATTTTGTTTAAATTCTATCACAAGGATTTATATTGAAAGTCAGATGTTCAGTAAATCCAAATTATTGTTTTTCAATTTTCTTATTTTAACAATGACATAAATAATAAAGGTAATAAAATAAATAAGTATATAACATAGAGAATAAAAATACATCAGACTTAAACCTATTATATATCTATGTTATGTAATTTTAGTAAAAATATATTAAATATAATTGATATTAAACAAAAGTCATGTTTTAATACCATATTTACTTGTATATAAGACAAGGTTTTTATTCACTTTCCACTGATTTAAAAACCTGGGTCATCCTATATGCACAAGCAAAGGATTCTTTGCATTTTTACAATAATTTTTGTGAACCAAGTAGTTGCAGTTTTTATCAGATGCTCACCCTCTGGTATTTAAAACCAAAAGTATTTTATCTGGATTATTTAAATTATTCTTGTGTATTGTCAGTAGTAAAGATGAATAGCAATAAAAAAAGCAAATCTTTTGAATTGAATTCCAAATTGAAATTCCAAAATTACATGGGAGCCCGATATATGTTTTAATCCATTCCCACATTAAAACAGATGATTATTTGGAAATTAGAATTCAGAGAAACTCATAAGTGTAATTGACAGAGAGTGGATTTGACTGTTAAGAATTGACAAAAAAGATTCCTGATTGTTCAACTTTATACAAACAAATTATGTTGGTGATTTTACAAGATTTTTCCTTAAAGTTTAAAATGCTAGTAATTTTTGTGGGACAATGTGTGCATTTACATGCATTTGATATTTTATTTGTGATTAAATGAAATAAAATTAAAATTATATTAATATATCAAATTTTCTTTATTTTGATCTTTAAAGTCACATCTCATCCTATATGCAAGTAAATACAGTATATATACATACATATATATATTTTTAGTCTAACCTTCTCATTTTATCCCATTTTTGATATTCTTTTAATTCTTCTTTTTCTTCTTCAAGTGTTTTCAATCTTTCTTCAATATATTTTAACAAATCTTCTATTTTTTCTCTCTTACCTTCAGTTTCTTTTAAAATAGATTTACTTTCTTCACGACGTTCATCATAAACACGAGTTCCAGCAACTTCTCTCAACAATTTTAAACGTTGAGAATCAGGAGCAGTTGCCATTTGATTTATCTAAAAAAATAATATTTAGAAATAAAATTCCCTGTTTAAAATTTTGCATATGCAATTTTGTATTATTATTAAACTGAAATTTTATAATGCATGTTGCACGTTGGTCAGCATGTTGTGACCAGAGATATGTCAAGAATAACATTGGACAAGTAAATGGGTTTTTTCAAAGATTTGTTTGTCAAAATTCAATTTCACAACGTTTGCATTTCCAACTTCTCAATGAGCAATACAAGCGCAAATCTCACACTAGTGCCTGTTTGTAGAAGTGTTGCCATTTTGTATTTTATTTTGACTCAGTTCTCGATCCTCTGAGTAGCTACAAGTCTGGTTTTTTTTAATGTGCGCACAATTTGGACACCTAATACTCTGTGCCAAATTGCAACTCCTGACATGTATTCCTTCATATCTCTAAGCTGGTAAGCCAGGATGCAATTTTATAAATAGTCTTGTCAATTATAATGGTCAAATTTAAGATATTTATAAATTGTTTATTTGGATAACAATTAGTAGTAACTTTTGGTAAAAATACATGTAGTATCACCTCTTTACAAACAGAATGTATTTTTACCTATTCTCATATGTATCTATTTTTTAGTATGTTTTTAGTATCACTTAAAATTTATTCTATGCATTTTTGCTAATTGTATAGTTCATTTATGAGTTTTGTACTTTTAGTTTTTGTACATTTTTCATTTACTTATTATTTAAAAGTTCAGCATTTTCTCATTTAAATATTTGTTCTAGAATGTCAATATTTACTTCAAAATACATTTAAGTTTCCATAAATGAAACTAACATTTGATTTGTATTTTTCCTGAAGAAGGCCAGTAAACATGACCAAAAATGTTAGAAATTTAAAAGTATTACTGCAATTTTAAGGTTTTTTTCATAGTATTGTTTAATATAAGTGCAGTATCCAAAGAACTACATCACTTTTTATATATAAAATGATTAATATAGTTGCTAACAAACAATTGCCTTGTATGAAGTAATGTACAATCTGTATGCTGTGCCACAAACATTACATTTGCAATACAATGATATGTTATACACAGTAAGAGATTTGTTTTTAAAAATATAGATAAAAATTTACAATAAAAAACAAAGAATAAAATGCAACACATTCTTTAACAATGTCTCCAATACTTCTGTAACTGAAGAATTGAATAGTGTTAGCTATTAATTCATTCTTATGGTAAAAAGTCTAAATATGAAAGCATATTTAGACTTTTTACTTTTTTCTGTATAGTTATGATATGATGCCTCTTCCAGTTTCAGCTAAATATGAGATGCATATTCCATTTCTTGATACTCAGGTACTTTCGAAAAATGTTTACATATAATTCTAATATTTTAACTAAATTTTATTTGGAATATAACTGGAGCTTTCTTCACATATTAGTTTGTTAACAATATATTGAATTTTTGGAACATAAAGATAAAGCTTTCTTTCATAAACATCAGCCAAAAAACATTGTATTAAGAGAATGCACTGTACTATACATTCTATGAAGTCAAACATTAAAAACCAAAAGATATTATACTGAAAAAACATTAAGCAGGAAATGCTTGTATTTCATTATAATCTTGTAATTAACTAACTTTTGAAAATAATCATCATGTTATGAATTGAATTTTATGAATAAAATGAAGGTTTAAAAAGTTTTTGATTATATAATATAGTAGATATAAAACATCAAAAACTGATAAATTTGTTAAAACACAAATGTATTTAGATTATGATGATAAGGCACAAAAACTGACAAAGATTATAAACTTGCAGTTTTTATCAAATTTTGTGAATTACAGTTGAACTCTGCTATAACAAGCATTAGGGGACTGGCAAGATTTCTTCATTATATCTATGAAGAACAGTGGCATAACTATGAAGAGAATGGTGGCTGCTTCAGGTACAAACATGTGGGGGGTACCCCATGGACAGCAAAATTTGTAGATACACCGCTGATAATTAGTGAAATCTATCTTTTAATTTTAATTTCAACTATACTGACAAGGGGACCTTACGGTCTCAGAAATTCAGTTCGGGATGAGACTTTGCAGGTTAGTAGTATACCTCAAGGGTGTCCACCCAGAAGAATTGTAAAGCGCACTAGCAACAAGATTCTGAGAAAAAAGGCTCTAAAGTTTTAAGCGCAGCTCATATACCGATCGATTTCACACTATGGCAGCACAGCGAAATGGCTGAGCCTGTAGCGAACTCTCTTGCCACGCGGACGATCTAGGTTCGATTCTACCTTCTGTTATTTTTTTTTTTTTAATTGTTTTAAAAATTGTAACAACTTTTAAATAAAGTTAATGACCTAAAAATATTATCAATTAAATCATAAATAACTGTCAACTTTCACACCTGGGAGCTAATTATTCCGTGAGTTTTCACAAGTCAGCAGCAAAAGTGGCACTTTCACATAACTTTCCGACCTATCGTCTTAAGTTCATCGGTTGAAAATAACAAGGAATTGAAAAATTCTTCAAATTTAAAACGAATATTTTTAACCTCTCCACAGCTTAAAATATCTTAAAATTTTTAATTAAAATTAAAGTTTTAATTTACCTCCATTACAAATGCATTTGAAATTATTCAACTTTTTAAAAATATTTTAAACTATGGAGAGGTTAAAAATATTCGTTTTAAATTTGAAGAATTTTTCAGTTACTGTACTTGTTATTTTCAACCTATGAACTTAAGACGATAGGTCGGAAAGTTATGTGAAAGTGCCACTTTTGCTGCTGACTTGTGAAAACTCACGGAATAATTAGCTCCCAGGTGTGAAAGTTGACAGTTATTTATGATTTAATTGATAATATTTTTAGGTCATTAACTTTATTTAAAAGTTGTTACAATTTTTAAAACAATTAAAAAAAAAAAGTTAACAGAAGGTAGAATCGAACCTAGATCGTCCGCGTGGCAAGAGAGTTCGCTACAGGCTCAGCCATTTCGCTGTGCTGCCATAGTGTGAAATCGATCGGTATATGAGCTGCGCTTAAAACTTTAGAGCCTTTTTTCTCAGAATCTTGTTGCTAGTGCGCTTTACAATTCTTCTGGGTGGACACCCTTGAGGTATACTACTAACCTGCAAAGTCTCATCCCGAACTGAATTTCTGAGACCGTAAGGTCCCCTTGTGAGTTCAACTACATTTATCAAGCCTAGAAAAATATAATCAATATTAACAATTTATTTTTTTGTAATTAAAGATGATACTAATTAATAATATGCTTGATTTCAGTCAATCTTTTTATCTACAAATCTTAAAATTGATGTTTGCTTTATTTCTTCATAATGTTGATACTGTCAAAGATGACAAAGTAAACTGTCATTTTTGATGTTTTTAGCACCACATTCTAACATAATTTCTACTTTTTTGTAAACTGACAGGCATTTTCTTTTCTTCATAGACATCTTTCTCATAGAAGGATTCATTTTTAACTAGAATATATGGTAATTTTACAATCATAGTGATGATTAGGTAAATTGACAGAGTAGGTAGGGCTGGGAGCTAGTCAAGAAAAAAAGAGACAGTCTTCAAAAAGAAAGTTAATTAAGTGATCAATAGGCTTGTATTCCATGCAGATTGTAAAACTAATTATCCAGTGATCATAAAACTAAGTAACCCTTTCAGTTTTATCCATTCCAAAAATTTTATATCACATTTCTTACTACTTGAACAATTAGAAATGTTTGCATGTTTGCATAGCTATCAAAAATTTGCTCAGTATATCCATAAAGTACTCTTATTATAACACTGAGAAAATGTATAGAAACATGTGTAAATTAAAATTGTATGGCATTTTGCTCGTTATAACTGAGTTCAAATATATATATATATATATANTTGTACTTTTTAAATTAGGATTATTATTTGGAAGAAAATAAGTTTTTGATCATCAGATCACTAGCAAATTTTGTAAATAAATACATAGAATTCAGGAAGACTATCTGATTTGTGGATAAGAGACTAATCTGATTCTTTTTCACTTTCTAGAAGGGATATTTGCATGTGCAGTACGGTTGATTGGATGCATATCACATGATAGCAGTTTAGCAGTTTTCTCAAACTTATGTGAAAAGATTTTTGGTGTTACTTTCTTTTCATTTAATAATTTTTTGAAAGTGATCTATGATACTGATTTTTTTTCTCCAATGTTCATAGTGTAAAAATTGTTGGTGATTTTATGCTACTTGCATCCTGGGGTATGGTTTGTAGGTTATTTAATCAGTGGTTAGTTTTAGTTATTTAAGAGACTTTTTTTTCACTTTCCCTAGGTAAGATATAGCTAAGTTTTTTCTTGTAATTTTTTTTTGCTTTGAATAGTTCTCCCACCTTTAGGTTTAAGTTGAATTTACTTTTGTGTTTTTTATTTATAAATTATATGTATTTATGTTTTGGGTTAATGGATATGTTGTATGATTTCTTTCTGCATCATGGTTGTACCAGTACATTTAACTAAAAAAAGAAATAGAATTCAACACAAGTTAATAATTAAATATTAATTAAGAGAAAATTTTATCTATTTTAATTAATTCTTTATTGAATACTTACTTTTCCTTGTTTTACAATATAATAAGGATTACTTCTGGAAAATCCTGCACTTTCTAAAAGATTCATCACATCTGTTCTCCTATAAAATTGAAATTTCATCATAAAGATGGTATAATGTAAAAAAATTAAGAAATTATATTTATAACAAAAAATCTCTACTATATTATTTTAAGATCTTTAAGATTCATGTGATAATAGTAAATAATTTTATTACAAATATCATCCTTAATAATATGTAACATGTAAATTAGATATTAAACTAATATTCTATCAAAATAAATAAGTTTAATATCTAACTTATTTGGCCATCAAATAATTTTTTTTAATTATTTACTAATCAATACTTTTTAAGATTGGTCATTATAGAATTACCAAAAAATTTTTAAACTTAAAAATAAATTACTCTTTTTTATTTTTGTATATCAAAAATATTTATCTGAGCAAACTTTTTATTTCAGAATTCTAAAATGTATACTCTCTCTCTGTCTCACTTTTTTTAATTAGAAAAAGTAGTTTTTTCTAATTTAAAAAAAATCTCAAAATAAATATAGCAGAAAGTGGATATAATAATAATAATAGTATATAAATCAGAGTTCTCCCCAAAAATGTTTAAAAATAAAAATTAGGATAAATGTTTTAAAATTCAATTAAAAAAAGTTAAGAAATTTAAATGTTAAAAAATGGCATCTACATATTTCATCTAAAAATTCTATTAACTCACAAAAAAGAAAGATGTTTAAATAACAGTAAAAAAGTAAATATAAAAAAAGTCAAACTCAATAATATGAGCTTTATACATATTCCCACAATTTTTCATACCCTTGTATACAAATTTAAAATTTTTCATATAATCTAAATCTTCATTCCTTAAGTTTTTATTAAATCGATCAGGAAGAAAAACTTGAAATTCATTCAATTCTCCATCCCTAAGAACTACTATTTTTTTTATCACCAAAGCGTGTTGATATTGTTTTAATACAAAGAATTGGTTATTCATAATCAATTTCTAACTCGTTTAATTTCCTAGTTGGAGTATTTTGAAGTTTACCAATATTGTTTAGTTTTTTCAATGTCTCCATTTATATAGGAAAAAATTAATCAATATAATTTATAAATATTGAAATACTATATTTTTGCAAGAAATTCTCAACATCATTTGCTTCCTCATTGATTCTCATTAGGATCTTCGTATTCATCCGGTTCTGTATAATTTTTTATCTTAATCATTTATTTGTTTAAAAATTTCAGCTTGTGCTAAATGATATTTCAGCTTGAGCAAAATAATATTTAACTTGAGCAAAATGTTATTTCAGCTTGAGCTTAAGCTTTTTTGACTTTCATACTCCCTGGCAGCCAACTTTCCTATGTTTTATTTCCCATCCCATTTTCACTAAGTTTTATTTTATGTGTTCATCCAAATAGTGGCACTTTAATCAATTATACAGCACTGTACAATTATGTGTAAAAACATTTTTCGATTTAATATATAGCAATGGATATTTAATAAATAGCAATGGAGTAAGGACACAGATAAATATTTTTATTTAAAACTAAGCATGCTGTGACATCACCAAGGCCTCAATGCAGAATCCAAATATTCTTATAACTCAACTGCCATTATTAATTTTTTCCTGTACCCCTAAACAACCAGGTGTGTAACCTTGGGTGGGAATCACTGATTTACAGTATTTGGTTGACTGAATAATGCCATTGTAGATTAATTTAATGCATTATTTCTGAAAATCATTTGTTTTATTTTATACAATCAAAGAATTTCAATTAAAGTAGATTTGATGTCATCAATTCAACTAACAATACAGTTTAACCTGCTTATAAGGTCATCCATGGGACTGGCAATTTTTTGACGTTATAACCAAGTGTCGTTATCTGCGGGGTCATAATTTCAGTCCCATAAAAGTATCAAGTCTGTTTAAGAATCTATTATAAAATTCATCTAATTTAATATCGTATGTATAAAAGTGCAAACTAAATATTTAAATCAACTTTATTTACATTATTATGTCTAAATTTACAACGATGTAATTAAAAATTTCAAAAATTATTTTTTATAAAAAATTTTTATTTGTCAAGTTTCGATAATGGCGGCACTTTCGGTTTTGAGAATAATGTCGAATCAAAAGGCAACAAAAAGTTAAATTAAGCAAGAAATGAGAAAATTATCATCCAGGTGTTATTAACGCCTGGATGATAATTTTCTCGTTTCTTGCTTATCTATCAATAGACATGAAGTCCAATATCTTTCACTTTTAGGTTAAATTAATGTATATCAATTAAAAAGAAACAATAAAAATATTCACTTAAAAAAAGTCAGTTATTTTAGATTGTAGGCATTTTTCACCTAAAAATTGTTTATCAATGTCATTTTCTAAGTCGTAGATTTTGTTCATTATTTCCGATGAAGTTTTACGAGACCTGTAGAATTTGCTAAACCAAAGTCTCTGCATACATCTGCCTTTTTTCTTCCACTTTCAACTGCTTTAATTATTTCTACTTTGCAGTCTAATGTTAACGCTTTCCTTTTTAAGCTAGCCATTTTACCTGATTTGATGCTAAACTACAACACGAGTATGAGAGCTATGCAGACTAACCCACTGTCACGTCGTTTAAAGGGGTGGCGCATCTCACCCCACCAAATCAGGTGGTGACAGTACCACCCACAATCGTTCTAGGAAGTGGACTCTGACCCTAGGACTGAACACGTGGTATTTTCTTTGATAAATAAAATTTATAATCTAATTTTGTAAATTTAAGAGTGCTTCAAATATGACGTTAAAACAGGGTTTTATGTCGTTACAAGTGGGTTTGTTAACATTATCTAGTATAGTAAAATTGTGGGACCAATAAAAATTTGACGTTATATTAGGGTTGTCGTTACGTCCGATGTCGTTATAATCGGGTTAAACTGTATTTTAACTAACAGACTGATAAAAAGCAGGAACCTGATCAGAACTGATAATTATACTTACATTTCAATTATTGATTTTTGTTTCATTAGCAATATTTTAATTAGAAATGTATTTTAATTTACTAAGCCTAAATTTGACTTTTTTTTTAGTAACTTCAATTACACAGGGATACATAATTGATTAGGTAAACTTTATTATTTTATTAATCTATTAATAAAACCCAAAATGCAATTCCAAATACAATAATAAAGTCTGCATAATCAATTAATGTATCCCTGTGTGATTGAAGTTACTGAAAAAAGCCAAATTTAGGCTTAGTACATTAAAAGAAACTAGTAACAAAAACAATCAACTAAATAGAAATGTATTAGTTTTATTATCATCACCATAAATATAAATCTCAAATATTCTTCAAAATTTACTGTAGTGTTTTTATAGATAAAGGTAATACAGTGGAACCTAGTTAACTCAAACAGAAATAACTTAAAGTTGCATTTACTTGAAGTCATTTTCTTTCCCCAATCATCTAGCATAAGAATTTAAATGTTAAATCAAACTGGTTAACTCTAATATGGTATTGATATAGTATTTTCATAAACTTTCCAGAATTTTAATTTTCTGTTAAATAAAATAAAATACCTCACTCTGTAACAGAAGTAACTGGTTGCTGGAATAATATTTTAGCACAATATATCAAACAAGTTAAATCAAAGAAAATAATTAATGTTCATCTATCAAACAAAGCTATGAAAACCTTATAAAGTATGGGAACCATATATGATTAAAAATAAACATCATGTCATGTGACAGCAAGCTGGAATGGTGGCTTCCAGACAGCATGTGTGACTTAGGTACAGTAACTGCCATTCAAAACTTGTTTTCTTTTTCAAAACTTTTTTTTTGTTTTATTTGATGGCTGAGTGATTTCTACAACTAAATGACATAATAAATAAATGAAGTTTTGATAAATTAATTAAAAAAAAATGATTATTCCAATTCTATAAAAATTTTAGCCTTTGCAGCAAAATTTTAAATATATAACAATTGTAGAGTGGATTTTTGTGATAAAAAATAATAAACAGATCAATTCTAAGCATGAAATATTGCAATTAAAAAAATCCTTACTGAACAGTTAGGAGTGAACAGATCAACCATTTGGAAAAGCATTTCTCAGTAGCATATTTACCCATTCAACTAAGCATTTTCAAGTTTCTAGACAATACTGAAAAGTTTACATTAACACAATGCCTTTATTATGTACAAAATTCTATGTAATAAAACCCACAAAATTATCCATATGATATTTTTGTGGGTTTTATTGACCAATGCACAAAATCTTAATTTTTAGCCAAACCTCCATAACTCTAAACTTTTTAACTCAAAGTCCAAACTTTTTTCCCAACCAAATTGAGGTAACCAGATTCCACTATAATCTTGATACTGTCAAAGTAGATATAAAAAGCCATTCACTCAGAAATCAAATTAAAATAGCACTCCATTTGCATTTAAAAGAAATACAGACCAGATTAGATCAATAATCTAAATCTGAGAACTTAAAATATTTTTAATTAAAAACTAGTTTATGCAAAAAAAAATAATTAAAATTTTACTAATAAAATATATCTGCATAAAACTGATATACTCACGTAACCATTTTTTTACTCAAAAAGTATTGATCTTTCTTTGAACCAATAACTCTTCTGAGTGACACTTCTTCCTTATCAATCTATAATTATTTAATAAATGACCATTAAACATATTATTTACAAAATAATAATAAAATATTAAATAAAATCTTACAATTCAGATTAATATAATTAAAATTTATTCTGAATTTTAAAAAATGTAATGAAAAAACATGTAAAAAATAAAGAAAATATAAATAATTTTAATTAAATGTATAAGGTTTAAGAATTTTTCAAAGTCTGAAATCAAAAATTAGTGAAAAATATCATTAGACTTTAATTTCATAAAATTTGTAAAATCTGATATATGCTAGTGATTTATATAATATAATATTTTAAGAAAGTTAACTTTATAATGAATGAAAATGAATGATATGTTAAAATAATTTTTTGTAGATGTAAAGAATTATTCTAAGATTAAAATTAAAATTCAGGCTTAAAAAATTTAAGTCAAATATAAAAATATTTTCTTTTGTAAATATATTTTTAATTACAAGAAAATATCTTTTCTTTATTTTTCATATATGATTTTGTAATTGTGAGATAGCAGAAGTTCCTACATTAGAACTAGTCTTTAATATTAATATTGTTCGAGTTGCATAACAATTGTTGCTTGTAGCTACCTGAGAAAATATCCTGTTATTGATTCTCGAAAGCAACCCGATGCTTTCTCATAGTCTTTTAACCTCTGTACGGCCAATATCGTCCGTGGATATCACTAGAAAGTCAGTCACCGGTTTAGTCTTTCCTGAGGAAAGAAGTCATCACCCGTTCCGTTAACAAAGAGTTAGTATAACCCTCATCAAAAACCTTTTCTTTGTGTTAATGCATGATTGAGCCTGGATATTTCAACAGGACATTTTGACTGGATATTTCACCCTTGGACAAATCCTGTAAAAGCTTATAAGACAGGTGTGGCCAAACTTTTTTCCCTTAGGGGCTACTTTTTTGGTAAAATATAGTCTGTGGGCAACTATGAATATGGGAAAACAATTTTAGGATTTTTATATGAGCATGTGTTAACATTCATTTGCATTGTTCATCGCGATAAATACAAACAGTATGGGTACATTGCACAGACAGTCTATTATTGTAAGAATAAATTATCAAATTAAGATTTTTAAACATTAATTTAAGTGAAAGCAAATTGTTCAACTTTAGCTTCGCGGGCTACTTTCAAAAGCTTTGCGGTCGATCGGTCAACCATGGTCTACATGTTGGCCATCCCTGCTATAAGACAAACTATTACCTGGTTCTACGATTCTACACAACCCTGATTGGGATATATGTTACAAAAGGTATTTATCGCCACGCAAACCTTATGTGAACTCTCTCTCTCTCTCTGCAAAAAAACTTAGAACCTCTGTATCTTATCCAATTTATATTTTAATTAAATCCTTATTAAGTGTTAATTGTAGTTCAAGTCACTTCCACATGCTGTCTTTCAATCGGCTGACATTACTAATCCGTCTGTCCACTTATGGGACCACTCGTGCAACGGTGTTACGTAGTAATTGCCATCTTGGCTTCTGTGTTCTAATAAACACAGTGGTGTCAATCCTGACAGGGCACTAAAGAGGTGCTGACCCGAAAGGTCACATAATCAATCAATAATTCCATTTAAAAGTTTTAACTAATATAAGCTTTTACTAAATAACTCTTTGTAATAAATTTTTAATTTAAAACTATCAATATAAAAACAAAAATACTCACTGGGAGTCTGTTATCTGTATTATCAAAGATAATTTCAACATATGCATTAAGAACTCTTGGTCCAGTACCCTCATGAAGAAGAGCTTGTCGTTGTTCAGGTCTTAAATGAGAAAACTCATCACTAAGAACAAACTGAATAGCTATAAAAAATAAAAATATTTTAATATATTATTTTAATATGTAATTATTTCTAAAACTATAAAAATCATAAAATTACTAGTTATATATTATACAGGGTGTATTTTTTATCTTGAGACAATGAAATAACTTAATTGGATTTCATTATTTTGGGAAAAAGGTATAGACAAAAGTTGTAGGGTTTCGAAGGGCCAATCAATTGGTGACCTTGGCCTTGATCTTCAAGGTCATTTGAGGATCACGTCTGTTTTTTTCAATGGGAACACATATTTTTGATCCTGGCAATGGAAACAGCGAGAAATTTCACAACCAGATATACCTTTGAACTTATGGTCTAGGTCAGAGGTCAAGATTATTTTAAGGTTTAAATTATAAGCTTTTTCTAATGGAAAATCATAATTTTTATTACTGGAATAGGCAGGGAAGTAAAAGTTACATTTACATGGAAAGAGTGGGAAATTTCACAATCAGCCATGACCTTCAGTACCCCAAATTTGACCTCTGAAGGTCATCTCAAGCGTGGCTCAACAAATGCACCGAAGTGCAATGGAATCATTTTGAACATTTGTTAAAAACTTTTCCCTGACACCAACATCTCAAACAATGGTGAGAAGTAAAGTGACTCACTGAAAACAAGCACTGCAATAGTGAGAGGCAAGGGAACTTACTGAAAATAAGAACCTCAAAGGGAGAAGAAAACTACTACATCCACATCATTACTTTTAGGTAGTGCTAATAGTAGTAAATGCTTTTAAAGGTCAAAGTAATAAGGTCATGCAAAAATGTAACTTTTACATCCCTGTCTATTCCACTAATGAAAAGTATGGTTTCCCATTAGAAAAAGCTTATAATTTAAACCTTAAAATAATCTCGACCTTTAACCTAGACCACAAGGTCAAAGGTATATCCGGTTGTGAAATTTCTCGCTGTTTCCATTGCCAGGATCAAAAATATGTGTTCCCAATGAAAAAAAAAGACGTGATCCTCAAATGACCTTGAAGATCAAGGCTAAGGTCACCAATTGATTGGCCCTTCAAAACCCTACAACTTTTGTCTATACCTTTTTCCCAAAATAATGAAATCCAATAAGTTATTTCATTGTCTCAAGATAAAAAATACACCCTATAATATATAAATATTAATATTATATTATATATTATATTTTAAATAAAAATGTAATATTTGCTCTTATTTGATTCGTGCATAAACAACATACGATAATTGTCAGTAAGCATCTGATTCTTTAGCAAAAAATCTTTTAAGGGAACAAATATAGAATAACTGTTTATTTTACATAAAAATTGAGTATAGATGATGATAATTGGACAAATTTTATTTTATTTATTCACATTTATAGTAAATAAATAAAATAAAATTTGTAAGTATTCATTAAGGTTTCTATTTATAAGAAATATTAATGAATACATACTTTTAATCATAGTATTTTATAATTATCATAATAAAATAATAATAAATATTATATGATGAAGTTAAAAGTAATAGTAACTAGTAATAGTAAACTATATTATAAATTTATATATTAATTCTTAACTATTAGTTTTTTACTTCATTTTTATTCTTTAAAAAAAATAATAAAAATTGGAAAAATTAAAGATTTAAAAAAATTTTTTATAGATTAAATAATTTAGAAATCAACATAGCTTTTCAAACATAGCTATTTATAATAAATTAAAATGTAAACATAATCAAAGCTCTTAATTTATTGAAATTATTAGATAATTTGGCATTAAATGTAGACAGAACTATCATCTTATAATAAATTACCATATATTTGCACAGATGATAGTTGAATCATAAAAAAGACCCCCAAAATCTGAGGTTGTCTTATAGGACAGATTGAAATTTATATAAATTTCAATCTACTGTAATTTTTTTTTGTATCTGTCCTTATAAAAAACCTTATATATTTTTGTATCTGTCATTATAAAAAAAACAGAAAAACTGTAATTATTTACTAATAGAGAGTAGGGTATGTCCACAAAATAGAATAACCCATATGACATTTTTGTGAATAGTCAAAGTCATTACCCGAATGCTCAAATCAGTGCGAATGTTTGCAACAATTGCAAGGCAGTGCTGTCAGATGCAAGAATATAAAATTTCAAGTTCTTTCAAAAAATTACAAATAGAACATAATTTTGTATACATTATACAGTGCTATTATCCAGATGATGATCGCTGATCTAAACTAAATTCATAAGTTGTTGATAGTTTGGGGGTCATCTTATAGGACAGATATATGCTAAAACTATAAAACTTCGATGAAAATTTATACCTCATCTTATCTGTGCAGATATACGATAATTCAAATTAATTAGTTAATAATTGAGAAATGTCTGCAAATAAAGATAAATCTGGAGCAGGACTGGGCAGATATGTTGTCAATAACATCAATTTGAATTTTACACTATCATAAGAAAAAATAGGAAGGCCATGTTTTTAAAAGTGAAATTATATAGTGTTTATAGGGTTTCTTTCCCGGGATTCCCACCGTTTATTCTCTACGAGAAAAATCCTGGAAAATTTTATTTTTCCGGGAAATCTCTCATTTCAATAATAATTTATCATGTCAGGTTTTCTTTCTATTATTTATTATACGAAAAGTTGAATCTTGAAGACTCACCTAAGAGAGAAATTTTGAGGTTTCATGCTGCATATTACCACCTATGTTTTACAAGTCTCTACTTGTTAGTTCATGTAATATCTATGTATTGTGTTTGCGCATCATTGAACAGCAGAGTACTTGCTGAAAGTAAATATCACTCATTGCACTTTAGTTTATTTTTTATTTCATCTTTAGAAATAAAATAGTATTTTTTTTCATNGATGATAATTGGACAAATTTTATTTTATTTATTCACATTTATAGTAAATAAATAAAATAAAATTTGTAAGTATTCATTAAGGTTTTTATTTATAAGAAATATTAATGAATACATACTTTTAATCATAGTATTTTATAATTATCATAATAAAATAATAATAAATATTATATGATGAAGTTAAAAGTAATAGTAACTAGTAATAGTAAACTATATTATAAATTTATATATTAATTCTTAACTATTAGTTTTTTACTTCATTTTTATTCTTTAAAAAAAATAATAAAAATTGGAAAAATTAAAGATTTAAAAAAATTTTTTATAGATTAAATAATTTAGAAATCAACATAGCTTTTCAAACATAGCTATTTATAATAAATTAAAATGTAAACATAATCAAAGCTCTTAATTTATTGAAATTATTAGATAATTTGGCATTAAATGTAGACAGAACTATCATCTTATAATAAATTACCATATATTTGCACAGATGATAGTTGAATCATAAAAAAGACCCCCAAAATCTGAGGTTGTCTTATAGGACAGATTGAAATTTATATAAATTTCAATCTACTGTAATTTTTTTTTGTATCTGTCCTTATAAAAAACCTTATATATTTTTGTATCTGTCATTATAAAAAAAACAGAAAAACTGTAATTATTTACTAATAGAGAGTAGGGTATGTCCACAAAATAGAATAACCCATATGACATTTTTGTGAATAGTCAAAGTCATTACCCGAATGCTCAAATCAGTGCAAATGTTTGCAACAATTGCAAGGCAGTGCTGTCAGATGCAAGAATATAAAATTTCAAGTTCTTTCAAAAAATTACAAATAGAACATAATTTTGTATACATTATACAGTGTTATTATCCAGATGATGATCGCTGATCTAAACTAAATTCATAAGTCGTTGATAGTTTGGGGGTCATCTTATAGGACAGATATATGCTAAAACTATAAAACTTCGATGAAAATTTATACCTCATCTTATCTGTGCAGATATACGATAATTCAAATTAATTAGTTAATAATTGAGAAATGTCTGCAAATAAAGATAAATCTGGAGCAGGACTGGGCAGATATGTTGTCAATAACATCAATTTGAATTTTACACTATCATAAGAAAAAATAGGAAGGCCATGTTTTTAAAAGTGAAATTATATAGTGTTTATAGGGTTTCTTTCCCGGGATTCCCACCGTTTATTCTCTACGAGAAAAATCCTGGAAAATTTTATTTTTCCGGGAAATCTCTCATTTCAATAATAATTTATCATGTCAGGTTTTCTTTCTATTATTTATTATACGAAAAGTTGAATCTTGAAGACTCACCTAAGAGAGAAATTTTGAGGTTTCATGCTGCATATTACCACCTATGTTTTACAAGTCTCTACTTGTTAGTTCATGTAATATCTATGTATTGTGTTTGCGCATCATTGAACAGCAGAGTACTTGCTGAAAGTAAATATCACTCATTGCACTTTAGTTTATTTTTTATTTCATCTTTAGAAATAAAATAGTATTTTTTTTCATAATCATTAAAACTCTCAATGAAACACTTTATTTTACTTTCATCTTATAATGTAGGAGAACATAAATTAATTGAGCCTAGCGTGTCTGTATGGGCGAGATTAGCCCTATATTTTTAGTTACTTACTAGAAAATAAATTAAATTATTCAAACTTATGATATTCCTGTATGATCTTTTTTATTCATATAAAATTCTATTTTACTATCTCATCCCAGAATTTCCTGGGATCCCGGGAAAAGAAATTATTTTTCCCGTAATCCCGCTGGAGGCAAATTTCCCGGGAAATGAGAAACCCTAATTGTTTACTTTGTTTCTGTTCAGTTCAGTCATTTGTTACTCTCTGCCTACTTACATAGTTATGTACAGTACCTGCAGTAAGGATATGTTGGTCGCACTGACTGAACCACAGTTTAGATTTTTATGGAAAAAGCTAAAACAGAGCTTTAAAAAAAACCAAAAAAAGAAACCTGTTTTTATTTCAAAACTCTTTCCAATACTAATTAATGGGTGAAATATCATGTGAACTTCTATTAAAATGAAATATTAATTTGTTTCCTGCACAAAAATATGCAAATTAATACACTGCATTTATAATTTTTTTCTGAATTGTCTTGATTAAATAGCTAAATAAATAGAAGTTTATCATCCTTTTATAAACATTATTTTCCTTTATTTTTCATATTTTTCTGTAGACTTATTATAAAATAAAAAATATTAACATTGAAAAGATGTATTTCAAATCATCATAAAAATATGGTCACATTTCAAAAAAGAAAAAATAAATAAATAATAATAATAATAAACTGTTTTAGTTTTTGACTGACATAAAGTCAGTCAAAAACTCTAAAACATTTCATCCTTTTGCAAAAAAATGTTCATTTCTTAAATAATTTTTCAGAAAAAAATTGCACAACTATTCATTATAAAGAATTTTATATTTTAGACATAAAAAAGTCTGCTAATTATCATCTCATGCTATCAATAAGGTCACAGCGATGGCTTCAATTTTATTTCTATTAATTAATGTATTAACTTACATAAAGTTTATAACTGTATAAAGTCATTAAATAACAGAAATTTTAATTTTCTGAAGACAAAGTCTGTCCAAAAAGGAACCACCATTTATTTAACTCGTGTTCCAGACTACACTTTCTTGGAGACTGACATTTCTTTTTATGCTACTGGTTGCCAGAAGTTAAAAAAAATCCTTTTAAAAAACAAAAATATATCCAATTAAAATTTCAAGAATTTCTAAAAAAGGAACTGGTGACATACAGATTTACAGACATGAATTTAATCTAAAATTCATGAGATATATGCACTGCAAAAATCTTATCGCAAGACACAAAATGACTCCTTAGTAATATGCCATATAGTGACAATTGTGCCTGCACAATAGCTTGCATAACATGGCTGCTCCATTGTCGAATTATACTATGAAAGAGCAATAGAGTCATTTGTTTTTTATGGCCAGAGGAAGTAAAACAGCAGAATGAAGATTCAGTAAGGAGACAGTTGATTAAGTCAGGGAAGTGTATGAATAGTGGAAAGATTTAAAAATAGAAGACATAATGTCAAGGATAAACTTTTATATGGAGACCAGTTTGCATAGCAACTGAAACAGTGAAACAGCAGACTAAACAGTGAATCTGTAACAACAGGTGAGTTACTGTTGATGAAATTACCATAGAATTCAACATGAGTCATGGCTCTGAGTATGATATTAAGCATGATGACCTTGAGTATAGGAAAGTGTGTAGCAAATGGATCCCAAGGCCATTGATCACAAACTCCTGATAAATTGTCTGTGTGGCACACAATTTGTCAAGAGCACTTGGTTCATTATGCTAATAAAGGAGATGCTTTTGAAAATCTCTTATAAATCAATGAATTTGTGTAATGAGTCTATCATATATCTCAAAATTATCAAATCTATAATTTTTCCTATTGAATAACTACTCATCACACCAACTTAAAAAATTTATTCACACGGAACCAATTTACAGTGTGGTAACATCGAAAAAATGAACATTTTCGATGTTATCACGCCATATTGGAAATTCGATTAAACAGCAATCGTTAATCGAATTTCCAATCTAAAAACTATTAGAACCTGATGCAGAGCCCAGAAGGGGTTTGAAAATGTTTGTTTTTTCGACGTTTTTCGATGTTACCATACCATAAATTGGTTCCGTGTGAGTAAATTTTTTTCCTATTGGTTAAAAATCAACAGGAAAAGTTATAATTAATCCCTGATGTCTTGGAACATTCATTTGAAGACTTAACTTGAGCCTTTAAAGTACATTTTACCCAACTTAGTGATAGAAATTTAAAGAATAATGAAAATTTATTTAAAAAACTAACTACAATTGGAAAATGAATATGCTACTTTCTAAAAAAAAGCATTTGTCAAGAGTTGTTTCAACAAATGTACCTTCTTTGTCTTTTCACACAATTTATGATAGCTACTAATTCTGTTTTCTAGGGTTTGACAAACTAACATGCTTAGTTTAAGGTGGCCAAATTTTAACGTTGGTGAAGTGGGACAAAATTGACAGGGGAAGTAATTGTCTTGTTGAAAAAAAATTGTTCTAGAGCAACAAAATTTTATCACCAAAGAACACAAAAATTGTACTGTATTATATTTTTTTAAATTTCAACATATGTAAAATTTACAAATATAATAAATATATATACTATTATAAATCTTTAAAAACTCTTTATTCTTTTGCATATTTCAAATTTGAGTACATTTTTTTAGTACATTCCTATTGTTTAAAATGTCAAAAAATTTTTCTCAAGAATTTGTTAAATTTTATTTCACACATAATATGGCTTTCAAAGTCTCAACACTTAATTGTGATTTATGATCTAAATAATAATAATAATAATAATAACTTGTATTACTTTTCCTCTGAATTTGCCTTGATTATTTTATTATATAATACTGTCATAACCAAAATGAACCCCAGCCCCACCACTAGCAATAGAACGATGCAAACTGATGTGCTTACTCTTGCTAGTCGCTAGCTTTCTAAGGCGACGACAGACAAGAGCTCTGCACACATAACATAAAACAAACAAAATGTTCACTCATTTAAATGGCCTGTGAACACGTGCTACTCCACGGCTGCAGCTGTGCACCCCAAACCATTTTCTGTCAGTACAACACAAATGGCTTTGTTGGTGCATTCTTTAACTCTGATGCTCACACACACCTTGGTACTGATATGTGTGATACAAAATAATCTTTATGAATCTTAAACATAAAACATAAGTTTATGATACATAATTGACAAAAACTTAAATCTTTCCAAAATGCAGGGCTTTTTTAAAATGCTGCAGGATGCAGGACAAATTGTTAAAAATTGGGAGTATCCTGCCGAAAGCAAAACGTCTGGTCATCTTAGCTGAATTCCACATTCAGATCTAAATCCATAACTTGTTAAAGTTTCCAAATTTCAAAGTATCTTCTTGAATTCCTTTATCAGAATTTCTTTTGACACATCCCTCTCCTTTAGACACACAAGTATAATCTGGTAACACTGTCTACATATGACAATTTTCAGGCAATAGGTTTTTTGTATTTTTAAAAATTTTTGTTTCATAATTGTTCAAATTATTCAAAATTTCCCCTTTTATAGAATTACCTATATTCCTTTTTATAGAAAATATAAATTACAATAATAACAAATCACATATGTTTTAAATTAAAAACTGATAAAACTTAAAAAAATTAATAATTTATATATTTATTTAATATTTAATTCACTTACCATAAAAAAAGTTGCTTTTTCCAGAGCCATTTCTTCCTACTGAAATAAATATTAAAAAATTATATCAATTGATATAATAAAAACCTTTCAAATAATCAATATTTTTGAATGCTATTAAAATCCTGTGAACAGGATTTAAGCTGTCACTAGTATTTTTGCTAAAATGCTATAAGAATTTACATTTAGCAATAACTTTCTTGGCACATTTCACTAAAAAAACAAACATTTTTCAAGTGGTTAAAGCATCTTAATAATGTTAGTTTTTAAGATGTTTTAACTAATGATGGGACAATACCAAAATTTCTTCCAATTTCAATTCTGCTGAAAACTCCTAATTCCGATTATTTTGAATACTTTCTAAAGTTTATTTTAGTTTAGAAAACTTAACAATTTACATTACAAACATGATATATTCATTAATTAATAAACATCAAGCTTAAGAATGGAAAACAATTGGGAAATCCAGAATTGATCTTTCAAAAGAAACCCAAAAATTCTCCATTTACATGGCATGCATTTACTGTGTAGTAGATAATAAATTTGAAATCTCATTGCAGATACAGTTAATATTGCAACACTACACCCAAACAGATTACAGCTAATTCCCTTTTACTCAAAAAATAAAAAAAACTATCCCATTACGTCATCTAAGGTCACCATCTTCGAAAACTGTTTTGTTGGCCGACGCACCAAATGACTAAGGGGGAATAATGAAAAAATGGACTTTTTTTTTAAATGCTTCTCACAATCGGCATGCTTTGTATATGCTGTAATTCCAATGTATTTAACACTAAATGAAGTTTGGCAAATTATGCAATGAGCTGAATGAATATCATCATCATCACATTAACCAAGTTTTGAATTCATTCACTTGAACCAGGTTTTCCCAAATATGCAATTCGAAAAAAGAAGAATCAAATGAATGCCTAGACTGATTCATCTTGAAAAAATCAATTTTAAAACTCAAAATGGCAGTAGATTTGGTTATTTTATTATTTTTACTTAGAACTGCACTAAAATGCAATTAAAAATTTAACATATTACAGCATCATTTGTGAATCATAATAAAAACTTTAATGGTTAGTTATAATAAGATAGTAGTTTTATCATCATTAAAAAACACTTCTATATAGGCCAAAACTAATTTAGCATGAACAACACCTTAAATATTTTTTTCAGCAACACTAATTTCTATAAAAGAATATTTTTGACCCTTTTCGCAGATCTGCATCAAGTTTAACAAAAAGATTTGAACTGTCTTCTTAAATAGTGGGAATCTTCTTGTTAAATCTGATGCAGACTTGTGAAAAGGGTTGAAAACTTTGTTTAAACAAATTAAAGTGTAGCTGAAAAAGTATTAAGGTGGTGATGTTCAAGCATTTTATCATTATAAGTAAACATACTAAATATTAAATAATAATTTTATCTAACATTTTTTCAATTAAAATATAATTTTGTTTATATTTTAAATTGTTTTGCCAAAACTTAAAGTTTTTGTCAACCACCAGCCAAACCGACCCAACATCAGCTGGGTGGCAACTCTAATGCTACCTTATATCTCCTAAAATGGGACAGTTAATACAACCAAGTGCAATCTCTCATCACTCTGACTATGCAGAAGAAAAGTTCATCTTGACATATGTCACCTTGTATATGGGGTATCATGTATTCTCTCCTTTGTAGACAAAAGTTTCCAATAAACAAATACTTAATTGTTAATATTGTAATTTTAAAAATGCAACTTCCAATGGATGGGATTTGTTTAAAAGATCTGTTGCTGTCAGGTGTAAGGATATGTCATTGGTTAAAGTTTATGAAGTGATAGCTGTAAATGACCTCTCAGATTACTCTCATATATCAACAGTTATTGAATTTCTTCTTTCACATCCAATGCACACAATGAGTGTGAAAGATTTTGGTGAGATAACATTAACAAAAAATCCAATTGGAAACTGTCTTGATGTAAAAAATGTCAGTAACTTTTTAAACATCTCCCTAAATAGCCCCCAAGATGGGAATTTCAGCATTTGTTGCCTAATGTGAATCAAAACCAAGAAGGATTGTTCAATAATGTATGATAGTTGAGGGTTGTAACAATTGATTTATAGTTATATTGGTAGTGCAGTACACTGTAATAATATACAGTATCTATGAGAATAAGTTTAGACAATAATGTATTATGTATTGTTCTGGGAAGACTCACAGATGAGAAATGTTAGCTACAGTTTCTAAAATTTTGCTAGAACTTTTTAGTAAAATTAGCTAAAATGCTACAGAAAATTTTTTTCCAGCTTACACCCTTATGTGAAGTTTTATTAGTATGATAGATTAACTGTATCTTTATATTTAACTATATCTTGACAATATAATCTCTGTAATTTTGAGAACACTCATTTATTCTAAAGATTAGTTTTTTGGCCAACAGATACATTGTATAATAGACTAATTCAATAGAAAATAAATATGCACAATGACTCATGAAAAAATAAACCTATAAACTGAATTGAAAATTGTTGTAAAATACAAAATATTAAAACTTCTTATATTATTATAATGAATTTTCAAAACTAATGCTGTATTGGTCCAAACAAAAGTAAATGTATTAGTCAATATTTTTCCCAGTTTTAAAGGGGAAAAAATCACTCTTGACCTATATTCAAGTCTGATTAAAGTTTCCTTCAATTTTGATAACTGTTTGTGATACATGTTGTATAGAGTTAGACTGATGCCAAAATTCAGTGTGTTGATTTTTAGCAATGCTAACCAACTAAGTTGTGACCTGTCATGCAGCAGCCTGCATGAGGGAATTTAAGTGTTTGGCACAATTGTAAATAATCAAATAGTCAATTAAAATTTTAATTGTATTCAACAGGATCAGTTTTTATATCTTCTACAGAAAGTTTATTTTCATAACTTCTTTACTTTACTACTAAGAATCTGTACTAATCAAGCAATCATAAAAATTGGGGCGGTTGCTATTTATTTTGTTATAAAGTATAAAATTCTATTGTAATTACAGTATAAATTTATATATTCAATATGATTATATATTTTAGATTCTACAAAAATGTTTTAGACAGTTACAAAAAAAAAAAAAACAGTAAAAATAAAACAGAGTTTCAATTTCATTTTTGATAATCATAAAACTCTACAAACACACTCTACAATACATGTGAAATATGCAAAGATACCTATTTCCCTGGCATAATGTATATATGTTGGGTAGCTTACTATCCTGTGCACAAGACACTGTCTTGCTTTTGCTCTATAACTTTTATTCATTTCATTTTTATTGAAAGTAACAAAAAGAAACAATAAATTACAATTTCTCACTGACAGCATGCCCAATTTTCAGACTGACTAGGTATAATTTAAATGCACTTTGTAAGAAAGTAATTGAATATTGCCATAGTGGAGGAGTACATTTATGCTGATTAATTCCCAGGTATTTGTAAATACAAATTTTATTTCTAATTTACTTTTTGAAATAAACAATTTTATTTCTAAGTTACTTTTTGAATCTTTATTATTTAATCTAAATCAAATATTATTTCCTGCAAAATGCAGTTTTAACATTTGTATGTTTTCTTACTTAAGTATAAACTGCATATGAACTTTATGTTCGCTCTAAACAATGAAAATCTTTTAATATTTGAATTTTTAATATATCTAGTTTTAAAACTAAGAAACTTTATTCTATATTTTAAATATGCAATAAGTAAATATTATAAACTTTACCAATAACATTGTGTCTTGGACTAAATGGTTCAACTACAGTTTGTTCCCGATAACTTCTGAAACCTTGAATAATAACCTGAAATATTTTAATAAATATAAACAAACTTCTTTCAGATTATAATTAATTATTATTAATCAATTAATATCATTAATTGTCAATATAAGATAAATTATTTAAGAACACAGAATAAATTTATAATAAATACAGTCAATTCAACTTAATGGGAACACCTTGGGACCTGACTAATTTGTTCTGATTAAGTAGCTGTCCCAATAATGCAAATTTTAAAGGAACAGACAAAATCTGAGTAAAAACTGAGCAATAAAGACAAAAACTATTTATTGAAAAATATAATTAATATTCAATGTGAATACATATATGTAAATAGATTCAAGTTCAAAAATTAAATATTAAAATATAATCCTTAACAAATAAAAAAAAAATTATTTTTACAGAAATTTATCAAGTATATCTTGCAGAGTATATATTGCTTTACTTGGTATGGTATCTATAAACACATACACACACTGGTTGAGTGCCATAGTGAGGAGTACATAAGCTGAGGCATAAGAGTCGTCCCCAGCCAGTGCCGTGAGTGGCTATATCTAGGTTTAAAATATGACTGGAAATGAAGAATTGCTTGGAGGTCCAAGTGGAGTAACTGGCAGTGCACCTCACAACAAGTGAAAATTGCAGGTTAAAATCCCATCCCTGGCCAGTTCTTTTCTTCCAGACTGTTCTAAATTATTTAATAAATTATTAATTTAGATATGAGATGGCATCTAACATCTACTTCTAATACCAAATTACTTAATTTCTAATTATTAATAATAGCAAAATAATAGCCCGATTAATTATGGTGATCGTTTGGTTTAGTATCAATGCATCGAGCTTCAAGATGTTTATTATATACCAGCAGATGAGCCCAGCGTTGCCAAGGCAAAAAACCTCCCAGAAGGCATTCTCCTTAGGCAGATCGCCCAAGTGTTGTACTGCCATAAATTAACTAAACAAACAAAGTTGGATCACAGAAATTTCAAAGCTATAGATGAGTGGTTATTGCAATGGAAATCCAGACATGAAATAAAATTTAAGAGGGCACACAATGAAAAAACAGTGCTGACACTGCAAGTGTCGAAGGATGGAAATCAACTAAGTTGAATTGCCACAGAAATTTAATCTTGATCAAATATACAGTGCAGATGAAACAGGCAAAAAACAACAAAGATTAAGATTATTAGATTATTTCGTATTTCTAATCCTTCTATTCTAGTAGCCTAGGATGCCCCCTAGTGGGCGTTCTAGCAGCAGTGGTGTCATTCTGTGGTACAAATAATAAATTCCTATTACAAATAAAAATAATAATATACAGTGGGTGGTCAGTTAACGAACATAATCCGTTCCAAGACTTTGTTTGCTATCCGAACTGTTCGTTAACCGATTATCGATTTACCATAGGTTTTTATGGGAATTTGATTAATTTGTTCTGGAAACCCCAAAAAAATAAAAAACATATTCTTTTTTACTATGTTTATTTATATGTAATAATAAAAATACATATATACAGTCCTGCATTTTTATTAGTCATGTTATTTCCGTTCGTGGGGGTTAAAGAATCTGTCTAATGTTGATTGCTTTTCTCTCTTCTTTAAGATTTCTCAGAAGTAGTTAATAGCATTGTAATTGTAGAGATCCCTAAGCCTATTAACTTTAACCTGGTTTGGATGCCATTCTAAGACCGTTGTTCTGACATCTTCCCACTTCTTCAAAAGATGTTTAACAGCATATATCAGCATTAATCCTCTTTTTCAGAAGAAAATGTCTCATTGAGTTTCTTGGCGATATTCATTCAAAAGTTCTTGGCATTCTTCTGTCATCAGATCCGTTTCAGGTTCTATTATGAGCTCTTCAATGTTCTGTATATCTCAGATGTGATTTTTGTTACTCCTTTAGCTGCTTGAGTCTTCTTGATTATACTGTATCTTTCTTAGATAAGATTTAACTGCAGCCTACTGTAGACCTGTTCAAGCCGTACTGCCCAGCAACATCAGACATCTGCCCACTCTCTACCTTTGATATTATACTCTTACCTTTCAAAAATAAAAATTGATGCAAAACTTAACGAGTGCCTGCTCGACAGTCTCGCAAATACTATAAAAGAATTGTTTTTGTCAGAAAAATAAAACGCTGGAATTACAAGGGAGAGTTTCAAAGTTCAGTTGAGCATTGATGTCAATGTCTCCCGCACTCAAAAAAGTTTTGAATTGTTGTCTGAAGACAAGGGAAGACTAATCGGTATTCATTATTTTACGTTGCTTCTTCTTGTGTTTGTTCTGTGAAGTGTTCGTTGCCTGAACATAAAAATCTTTTGTGAAAATGTTCGTTAACCGATCACCCACTGTATCAAATTTCTCATGGCATACCCTACTAAAACGCAGCCAAAAATGCAAAAAACTGCATCAAATAATAATATACTGAACTTATTGTTAATTTAAATAATAGCTAGGAGCCATTTTAGTGGCCATTTTTTGGCATACAGTTGTGAGGACCCGAACAGAGGTCGACTGAGAGGTCCGAATGAGGGATGTTGATCGGAAATAAAGAGCTCCTTTTCAAACGCTAAGGAAATGGATTAGGTGTCTCGATTGAACAATGCAATTATTATTATTTTTTTGGTAAATTAGTTAAACAATGGAAACGGGTAAATTCGAGGAAAAACGCGACAAGAGAGAGGAATCATATTCAGTCACGACATTGACCTCTCCCATGCCCTCCATTAGGTTTCGACCAATGGAGAGGCGACGTTGGTTAAGAAATCTATAAAAACTTGCGATTCAAGTTACAAAAGTTCTTGGTTCATAATCTTGCCCTCCTCGATGTGTGTGTCCCCGCCGAATCTTGGAAAGAACGTTTCGGATCTAGTGGAAGTAACCTCATCTGCAGTGTCACTGGACAACCTCCTGGCTCATCGGTTCATCCGAGAAAAACCACCTGAAGCAGTGCCATTCGCCCCGGGGCCGATGATTATTTCACCATTATCGTTCGAACTGTAGTAAACAGAAACAAACTTTTCGAACTCTATTTGAATTTTATCCTCGTGCTTCATGCTGTGATAATCCGTCAATCAAGAAAATATTGTAAGAAATTATAATTTTATTAAACGGTTTTATATGGTAAACCTGTCTCGGTGAGTCATTCTGAGCCCACATGACAGAATTAACCGCTCGGATGTCAAAATCTCCTCACCCCAATCGGCTAACCTCACACAGTGAAAGAAAGAAAGAATCTGGTCTTTCAGTTTTATATAGTTAGATATGATCCATTGCTTTTTTTTAACTTAACAATACTTCATATTTATAACTCAGAAAACTATTTGGGATAGTATGGTAAAATAGTCCTGTTTCATCTGCACGGTAGATTTGATCAAGATTAAATTTCTGCAGCAATTCAACTTAGTTGATTTCCATCCTTCGACACTTGCAGTGTCAGCACTGTTTTTTCATTGTGTGCCCTCTTAAATTTTATTTCATGTCTGGATTTCCATTGCAATAACCAACTCATCTGTAGCTTTGAAATTTCTGTGATCCAACTTTGTTTGTTTAGTTAATTTATGGCAGTACAACACTTGGGAGATCGCCTAAGGAGAATGCTTTCTGGGAGGTCTTTTTAAGGATAATTGGCTCCTAGTCAAACATTACAGATGTGGAGAAAACCAAGAAAATGCCATGTGGCCAGTCTGTCCTGGTGTGAACTCGCAACCAAATTCCCAGTGTTCAGGAAACAAAATCGCTTGGCCACTGGTGGGCCTCCAACTTTGTAGATTTGGTTTTTAACATTGGCCCATTAGCACATACTCCTCTTTGCTGTGCATGATGTCCCAGTAAAGCAGTGGGATATAAGAAAAGGAGATTTGCCTTATAGTATCTCTTTTGTTTCCATCTTTCAATGTATGTCCCAAATAAATGGCAGTCCCAATTAACCAGAATTTACTGTATTAAAGATCGTTATATGCCCAATTCTGTTTCTACATAAATATTTTTTAATGATTTTGATTTAGGTCTAGAAAAAACTCAATTCTCTTTTCACATGATTTCACATGAACATGTTTCAATAAATCTGCTTTTTAAAAATCCACATTTGATTAAATTCTAAGGAAAAAGTATTCATATTTTCTTTTCTAGAAAATTTGTTTTTTTAATAAATTCTTAGAATTTGCATTTAAGGCTTACTTAAGGCACACCTGTACAAGTAAATTTTAAGTTGTTTGGTTATTTTCCTTGACTTATTTGAACATATATAGCAACAATCATTCTTTCATTCTAAATTTAACCAGCAATTAAAGCAGTCAAGATAAAATTTAATTCAAAATTTGATGACTTGTTTGTATTTCTTTATTTGTACCTTTCTTCCAATTTCTTTAAATATAGAATAGTGACAGTTAGATGGCTGTGGCAATTAAGGTGTTAGCCTACCACTTTGGCCATTCAAAGAGGAGACCTGGGATTGAACTGAGCTGTTAAAAAATCTCAGAAATTTTTCATGGACCCCATTCCTTGTCATCTGACTGTACCCATTGTAGGCCTTGCAAAACCCATAATGGGTATGAAAAAAGGCCCTCTTAGTGTCCACAGAGAGTTAAAAAATATACAGTAGAGCGTCGTTTATCCGAAAGAATTCCACTCGGCAAATTTAAATTTTCGCTAGTGCTGTGGCGCTGCAATCTGTGGCTATATCTTGGGCTACTCCAATATTTTTTTTCGTTGATGTGTGTTTTTTAGCTGGCAGCACTGGCACTTTTGTGTGGTGTTTTTCGAGGACTATGTGTCATGCTGAATCAAACGTTTTTGATACTAGATTAACTTCTAAAGTATAATTTATTNGATAGAAATAATGAAAATGAATTTTGCAAATAAAGTTTTTTCTGAATGAAAAAAAATTTAATTTGTTCTTTGGATATTGTAAAAAAGTACCCTATTTTATTGATTTATAATATATTTTACATATAGCCTATATTATTATTGCTTTTCTCTTCTATTTATGTATATTTAAAATTTTTATTATAATTTATAATTGTA